GTGTCACATTTCTTATAATTGACTAACTTACCTAACTTCCTTGATTTATCAAATTAGTTAAATGAATCTTATATTAAGAACCAGAAGAGTATATGTATTTTTATATATACGCTGACTTTTCCATCACAGAATGACAGATGGCAAATTGTCTTTTCGGTGATGTTCCTCCTTGATATCTTGCATTTGGTTCCCAATCCTAGCTGACTTCGCTTAAATACTTTCCACGAGTTCTTACTTTTTTCACGGCACACGAAAAACACACCAGGATTTCTTCCATTCACAAGTGAAAACCATTCCCAGTAGAATTATTAAATAACTATGAGTCAGCACCGTTGTAGTGAGTTTGTTAATTAGATTACTTGTGAGTTGGAATACTACCCTGGGCCTAAATATAAATTTTTACGTTATAAAAAATAGATATTATATTAAAAAAATTTACCATTTTATGTTGGTGACATGTTGAGTCGAAAAAGGGGAATTAAGCTTATCATGCTCGAATAGGTGAGTTACAAATTACTCGTCCATTCTAAATATAAGATTTTATGCTAATGCATATAAAAGTTTTATATGCTAATATAGAGTCTTACATTAGAACCAGATGAGTATTATTTTCACCAGCAGTGCGGATATTCATAATTGAAAAGGGAAAATTTAGCCCAGGCTACAAAAAATATTTTATCTCATCAGGTTTGAAGAAACAAAGGCCCAGATCCCGATGTTGCGACATGAGTCCATAGCTTTCTTAGACTTATTTTGCGTATTTAATATTTTTAAAATGGTTACACCACGTTAAAAATTTTAATCCCTCATACATCGGTGTTAATGGCTTTGTAACTCAGCCAGAAGCACTGGAATTTTTTAGTAAATGAGAGGTAACGATACAAATTTATTTTAACTCCTTGATTTTAAAGAAGAAACAATGTGCATGGACATACCATGTAAAATGCATTTTTACAAACAAAATTATCTTTTTATTTATTTATGACCACTACTCTAGAGGCATCCTCATAAGTGCCTTGCCTTAGTTTAGTAACGTCTCATTGCAGGGATTATTAGATCAACCTAATTTTTTAAATGCTGATAACATTTACAATTTTTCTGCCAAAAAATATTTTAGTTTTTTATTGCACAGATTACAAACAAACATTAAAAAACCGTAGGTCCCTCACTTCGTGCCAAGTATTTTCTGCAGGGAGATCACATGTGATGTTTGTGGGGAGGTGAAGGGCAAAGCTCAGGTAATGGCAAAGGAGACACTCGCAAATGATACGCTCACGAAGATGTTTGTTCTCCACTATGAGTACTCCGCCCGCTTTTTAATATGAATAATAAATATTCAATTAATTTAGATATTTAAGAAAACAAAAAATAGTTTAATTGTAGTAAGATATACTATATACTAATTTATAAATCAGATATCGGGATCCGAGGAAGTATTTGATTTTTTTATAATATTCCCAGAATAAGACAAGGAGGCGTCTTAAATAAAATATCACGGCAATAACAATAATAAGGGAAACAGATAAAAATCTCTATGGGGGTGGAAGTGCTTGGGGACTATAGTGGAGAGTTGGGCCACTACACCACTTTCATACAAGGGAGAGTGACATTTAAAAAAAAAAAGTTAAAATTACAACAGGCATCTAAGAGGTTAAATTAGTCAAATGACTAAAATGCCATTATGTCATATTTAAAAAAAATAATCAAATTTATCATTGTCAATCAGTTTGTCAATTGTTAGTCAGGTTACAACTGGTTAATAACTTTTTGATATAATGAGATTTTTGTCATTTAAGTATGTTTATAAAATACCAAATCAAAAAGCATTTCTCTCCTAAAATTTTAACCTTTTAAGTGCCTGAATTGGAAGATTGTAATTTTTAACTTTTTTTATATCTATTTTTCCTTCATATGAATTATTCCGCCGAATGATTAAAAAAAATATTTTCAATGAATATAAGGAATTTTTGAGTTATAAAGTACTTCGTCCGTTCTTTGTTATAAGCAACATAAAACTCTATTACGCAAATCAAAAAAGTTAGTTAAAGATAATAAACAAGTAAAAATTAGAAGTTTTTTCTCTAAAATACTCTTTATTAAGGAGGAGAGAGAGTATAAGAAAATTGTTATAATAAAGAGAATTATAAAGGAGAGAACGTAGATGGAGAAAGATAATAGTTTGGGAATCGATAATAAATATATTGAATATTAAAATAAATAATTAATAAGGACAAATAAAAAATTCACTACAAAATTGTAGACAATTGTAAATATTACTTATACTTAGAGATAAGAAGGTAACGGTAGTTATTATTTATAAAAAATGACGGAGTGAGTACTTATTTATTTTCTTAGATTTGGAATTACTCGTGTTGTTGTGCAAAATAGGGAATATATGCAGATGTCAAGTCGCGTAATAAATTGTCAATCTCCCTATTTTAAATTTTATTAAATTTAATAAATTCTCAACTGCTATTTAATATATATATTTTAAAACAATAATCCATAAAATAATAAATCAGCAATTTTAAAGTGACTTATATTAAAAACGAAAAATACTCGCTCCCTCTTCTGTAAATAGGATCGGCCAAAATACATGAATCCCTGTACTGATCAATTATTTGGCGGTCAAACTTTTCACTTCGTCCACCAAACAATGAAAAGTAGTTCCAGAAAAGAATTTCAGCTTTGCAGATTCCGCCACTGAGGCTACTGTTCATATTCTCATTGGTGTCTCGTCGGTATCAGAGTTTGACCCCTGCGAAAGTGGAAGCACGTTACACAGTTGGAACCACAATTATTATGCTACTGTTATTGTCAGCAATATTATTTATTACAACTTCTGATTTTAAATATAAGATTTAATTTATAGTATAATTTTTATTCTAAACTTGGTTTTTTATTTAGCACAAGAGGCAGTACTACTACCTTCAGTTTAAAGAATGAGAGTTAGTTAAAAATTTAATTCGATCATAAGTATAAGATCTTAAGTTTATTTTATTTTTTATGTTTATTTTTTAAGGTGGTTCTCATAATAAATACACATGTTAAAAGTTTTTATTCAGACTTATTTATTAAAAAAAATAACTATTTTTTTAATAATTACAAATTAGTTGTTTAGGTTGGGGAGAAAGCGTAGTACTTTTGCATGCGCGCGGTTTGGAAAAGGTGGGCAAACAGAGCGTGCATTGTCCACTATGAAATTGCAGACTAATTTCGCAGAAGAAAGCTTAACCTCAGCTAGCTGCCTACCACTATTCTTTTTCCCTCCATATCAATACAGGTGGTCCCTCCGCCCTTTTTCTTCCCAGACCTCACATCTTTCCATGCCCTGTGCCCCTTAACTGTACTTTATTGCATGAAAATGGAACTACTCTTGACCACCTCTAAACCCTAAATTATGAGTACATAAATTAAGAGTATATTTAAAACAGTTTATAAATAGCTTTTCAATCGTGATTTATAAAATATAAAACAAATATATAAAAAAATTTTGTCTTAATTTACATAAAATATATTTATAAGAAAGTTTTACCGATATCCCAAACAGACTCTAAGTTGGTTTTTCTATGCATTTACCTTGCATAAGACACTATAATTTTTTTAACATGTTGCCTATATTTTAGTTATGATATAACTCATGTCTCAAAATTCACTCGTCTAATTTGATAAATGCAGTGTATATCAGCCCTGCACCAATTTTTCAATGTTAATCATTTTGTTGATTCCAATGGGGAAAAACGGAGCACGTGCTGGATTACTCGAAGATGACAGGTTTCAATAGATTACCTACGCTGCGCGCGGCAGAAAATTAAAAAATCATTAAGATAAATGTTTGTTAGAAATTTAAAAAAAAATTATTAAACTTGGAAAGATAAACCTTTTTTCTGTGGCCTATTAACTTGTACAGATTTTCATGTCGCCATGCCTTTGCAATTGACAGCGGCTTGAATGAAGGAGCAGAAGGCGTGTGGAATTTCCACCTCAAGTGTATGAAGGTTTACAGCTAAGAGTTTGGAGACAAAAAAGACTAATAAATTTTTTTTTAAAAAAAAGAAGATTAGGAGTCGAGGAATTAGGACATGATTCCTTTAACTGCATTACTGAACACGAGATATACATCACTTTGCATAAAAATGTGCCCATACAAGTAATTATCATCGATTGTGGTCATCTCTATTTTATACTCCTCCAGTCTTTTATATAAAATATAATTATTGAGTCAATTTTAATCCTAAATATAAGACCTGTTTTTCATATTTATTAATTTTTTCTAAATTATTTCTAAGGATATTCACTCAGTCATAATCAAGTAGAAGAGGAAAGGAGGATATTAAGAAAGATAATTATAGTGTTTAGGAAAAACATATTATATATTTTTATAATTAATTAACTTATCTAATTTTCTTAATCTCACTAAATTAGTTTAACAAGTCTTATATTAAAGACCAGAAGAGTATATTCAAACATTCTCAAAGCCTTCCAAGGGTTTGTCTTTAGAAGAGGAAAAAATGGAGAAAAAAGAAGGATAAAAATGGAATATTTTCTTCACTTAAGAAGTTAATTTTTGAATAAAATGGCAATTCAATAAAACTAACTTTCCCAAGCCTCCACCCTTCAATATTTTCAATTGGGATTAGGTGCTTAAATACCAAAAAAATATATATGAAGGAACATCCAACACTTGAATTTTTTTTTTTTTTAAAATTCTTATATGTCATGAAAGTTTATTTTCGTGGCAAAAATACTCTGATTGTTACATGTCGTTAAATTTGATTATTAAATTATACAATTTGATTAGTATCTTTAATAGTCAAACTTAACAACAGATAACAGTTCATGACAGAAATACTACAAAATAAAACTTTCAAAACATATGACAGCAAAGAGGAAAAAAAAACTTTCAAATGCTAGATAGTCCGCATTATATACTTCTGGAACATTTAACTACCTTATCCCATTTTCAATTTCCCCAAAATTAAGACTTCAAGGAGAGTACCTTATCCCACAATAACTAGTGTGCGCGTTAAAAACACTACGCATGCATATAGATGCAGATATGCCCACGGGTATGTACAAAGTTGGATAGATATGGTGATATTTACATGTTGAAGAAAAAATGTTCAAGTCACTTAAAAAAAACAAAACAAGAAATGTGAGAATTAAGTGCTCTGATCCTTCCCCACATCAGTGGTAGAATGATCAATTATTAAGGAGTTGGCCGTCGCAGAATCAGTATCTCCGCAATCAGAAGCAGAGCTAGCAGCATCCATCTCCTTCCCCGGAGAGTCACCTTGGACAAAACATTCAGCAACCTCGGCGTTGTGCTGCTCAATATCATAGGTCCTGGGTTGTGCAAAGTCCTCTTTCTTGACAACATTAAACACAATCCCATTATGCATCCTCTCAGGCTGCAAAAGATCGCCTTCGTTCACCGTTATGCTGTCAGGCGTTGAGACCCTAGAGCTCTGATTGGACGGAGCCCCTTGACGATTTGGATGAGTCACGATGCCTGTATTCAGCTCAGTATCAAAATCTAAGCTCTGGACAAAGTCCACGAACTTATTTGCTGAAGCAGTTCTCATCAAAGGCCCACCAGAACGTGTCCAAGAGCTCTGATCAACATTTTCAGATTCACTGTCACTTCCGTGATCATGTATACTGCGGTGGGTCTTCCAGTTCTTAGTAGCACCTTGATGCAACGAGGAATCTGTTGAAAAGTCTTCCAGGGAACCTGTAGAATTCTCTCGTGCCATGCAATTCCATGAAGGGATTCTTCTTGAAGCACTGAATCTGACAGTGTTGGCCAGAACATGAGAAGAAGCCGATGCTCTCTCAGATGTTCTTTTGAGTCTTCTCATGTGGTTAAGCACGGCAACACATTCATCAAGAGCAATCTCAATTGCACAGTTCGCTTTTATGGCTGAAAGCTTCTCCCAAGTGCACCTTCTCCCCTGGTTGGCTGCCTTCTGAAGCTCAACGTGGGAAGGGTTCTGGATAATTTTCAAGTACTGGTGCAAGACAAAGAAAGAAATCATTCATCATTAGTGCAAAGAGCACTGAGAACTGAAGAGCTCACAGTCAGATGATGTTTAAACTCAAAAAGCTTAGTCTAAACCCACCAATTAAAAGTCATTTGGGCTAACATTTGACAAAGCACTCGCTCATCTAACTTCTGAAATTTCATTGGATTATGAAGAATGGAGGCGTTAAGAATCAAATTTCAGACCATTAGATCACGGATGCTCTAACATCAATGATAAAAGGACACATCAACTCAAAATTTGAGCTATTGAGTGAAGGCCTACAAATAAGTACTACAATCTATAACAGTTGTATAATCAAGGCATCACATTCTTCGTAGTAAATAGTACATTATCAATAAAAAAAGAAAGAAATACAGAGCAGAAGGATCAGAATCCTCCACAAGCTGGAAGAAAAAAGTAAAGAGAAAGATGAGCTCTAAAGAGCAAGGGTAGAGATATAGCCAAAACTTAACCACTAGACATAAGTTATTTTTTCTGAAAAAACCATATACAGCTTAAACAATTTCTTTTGCTTCGCATAAACGGCTCACTGAAATTAAATCTTCTCTGGGAGTTTACCTGAGCAAGAGTAGCAGGCATAACAACAGTTACATCACCTTCCCAGTCTTGAGCAAACAACTTGGCAAGTCCGCCTAATGGAAAACCGAGTCCCAGTACTTGATTACATCTATGTTTCACCTCCATCTCTGTAAGATGAGCAATCTACAGAATCAAAATCCATGTCAGTATCAGAATAGTTGTCAGATTGACTGGAAAACATAGAGTTGTAAACCAGGCACCTTAGAAGTGACAATTCACAGCAAAAGAGCAAATAGTATTATTCAGAATCAAGTGCTTAACAAACAAAATGAACCACCGGCAAATGATTGCTAGAGTTGTATGTTCGTTGAAACAAGATAGTAACTGCCACTCTCTCTCAGACACACATATACCTTTTTTTCTTTTGTTTTTGTTTTTGTTTTTGCCTTTTTAGTACAACTCTTCTTAGCCACACCCTGGAGAATGGAAGAGAGTGTAGCAGGAGAGGTCATGAAACAACACAGGGTTTGTACCACAACTAGCAATTGTATAGTGCATATATTTTGGAAATACAAAAGGACAGACGCACAAAAACACACCCAAAAAACAATAAGATCATAACCAGATAAAAGGAAATGGAAGGAAATGAACAATTCACATAGTTTAGCAACATAATGAGGAACCTCCATAGCTAAATTGGATCAGAATGAAGCAAGGGTTAAACAATGACAGCACATAGGAAATTCAAACTTCTAATAAAAGATATCACGTTATATGGGGAAGGGAAATGCAATAGAGAAAATTCATATAATAAGCAAAAAGTAATGGTAGGCACTGGCAACAGACACATAAACTTGTGTATAGTATACTGTGCATTTTGTTCATATAAAGAAGCAAGTTCATAATTACATTACCTTGGCAGCAAAATTGCCTCCATAAGCTCTCACAAATTCTTTCAATCTCAACAATGGAGCAATATGAGGGTTGGCTTGACTGACAATAAAATGATTGACATTGAACAGCTCTTTCAACTGCATCATAGGTAAATCAATCTCCAAGCTACCATCTCTCCAACGACGTGCTGGTGAGGATCCCTCCTCAGGGCCCAAATTAAATGGAGGGTGGTATGGAACAATTTCTCCACTTCTGTCCTTAGCCATCAATTCCTGAGCCTCAAAAAGGCCAGGAAAGGCACAAGAAGCGGTGACTGCACTCCATATAACAACATGAGGTGAAGTCAAATAGTTGAGACACCTTGGAGGTTCATGCTTTCTTGGTGAACAAACTGTTATCCCAAGACTTCGACCTGTTATGTCATAAGCTTCTTGAAACGTAAGGTTGCTTGTCAGATGCCTCAACATCATTTGCAATTGCCTGATCTCGTGGACAGCACCAAATGTCATCACCCTCTTAACAACAGTAAAAATTCCACCCATTTGATCAAAAAACTGCAATGAACGCCATGAATCCTTAAAAAAGCTTTGAAGCTCTGGCCAAGAACGAGTAGCAACAATAGAACACATAATGGAACCTACACTTGAACCAGCAATTATTCTGGGCAAGAGTTTGTGTTCCACCAGTGTTTTCACTACACCCACATGAAAAGCCCCAAGAGAGGCACCCCCGCTTAATAGCAAAGCAGTCCTCCCAAATGCATGTCTGGTTTCATGCATGAAAGCTAGCTTCTCTTCCAATGAGAGCTCCTCTGAATCAGAATCACATACCATTCTCAACTGCGTAGATACTTCATCAATATACTCCTTGATTAATTTGGGCACCTGAAGCCTACCTTTATGAAGTTCAGAATTACACATATTGCCTAGATTTCTAACAAGATCAGCACGCATACAAAATATTATGTCTCTCAGAGATCCCTCTTGACGACGGTGGCGGAGCTCTTGAAGCTTGTTCCTCACCAATTCTACGTCATAAAGGTCTGATTCATTCATTTTAGGTGTTTCTCTGTCAAGCATCTTAGCCGCATGAGCCCACTCCTCATACGTCAACGCAGACCTCATCATGTTTCTCCAAAATTTCCTCCTATATGCCATTTCAGCTCTTGCTTTCACATTTGTGTATCGATTCAAAGAGAAAGCAACTATTGTCATCATTGCTAATATCCCCTGAGGGTTTCTTGGATGCAACCATGATATAATGGGTTTTATACATCCCCTGAATCCATAGAAGAGACTCAACAATAGACGAAAGATATGATGCCTCAAATGTGAGATAGACTTGCAGAAAAGAACCCTAAAAGCAATCGTTTTTCCAACAAAACTTGAAGGCCCAATTGGAAAAGGGCTGACATTAGCTTCATTACTTATATCCATTTCTTACTTAGAAGTAAGAAGCAAACAGTATTTTCTCACAAATGAACACTGAATACTGCAGCAACCTGAAGAAAACAGATAATTACGAGAATGGTTCTAATTATATTGTGAAATAAGTTGGGCTGTGTTTAATGGCATATATGGATATTCCGCCTATTCAGAAAAAAAGAATGTGACAGACAACGCATTTGGCGATTTCGGTATGCCTTGGCAACTAAAACAAATCATGACAACAGAGAAGAAAACTATTTACACAGGAATCATAAAATAATTCACTTGTGATAAACTCCGAATACTTCTTGCGTCAAAACAATTTAGGGTGTTCCTCAGGTTTCCAATAACAACAGATAGAATCTCTAATCCCCACTCCCAAATCCCAACTTCCTATGCATACAAAAGAGCCAGATAAGCAAGCAACCAAACCACAAGCCAATATAAGATTCTGGAGGATCTCGGCGAAAAGGTGACTGGTTCCAGCGAGAAAATTCCGGCTGAAAAGGAAAAATTGCTTGGCCAACAAAAAATTCAAAGAACTGCTGTATCCTTGGGAATGAGGAGAAAATAAAGATTACTCGGGTGGCGGCGAGGCCCAAAATCAGAAAAGTGCGCTGTGATTTGGATGATTGGTGTCAAAGGTGAATGAGGCGGGGATGCGGGGAGATGGCGTAAGCAATTAAGCATGTCTTTCTATTTCGGAGAAGAAACCCAAACTACCAACAAATGGAACGGGAACTAATTTTCTTCCCTTGCCACCTCATGATCTTATCAGCAACAGGCAGCGAAGTGGTTCAATGTTCAGATAAAATAACGGGGGTATCTGGATGGAAAAGTGTTTTTCACATCTTCCCAAACACTCCCGAAAACGATCGCAGTTGCCAAGTCCAACTTAAAATTTTTTTTTCTATTTTTTTAAGTTAAAATTCGTTCGCCAAAATTAGTCATATTCATATCATATGTTATATACTCAGTATAATACCTAATTAATTAATCCAAAGAATATTAGTTATACTACCTCCAGTCCTAAATATAAGAGCTAGTTGACTAACTTGAGTAAGTTAAAAAAATAAATTAAATTAGTTATTAGTAATAAATAGGTGTTATCTTTTCTAAAATGTTCTTACTAATCAAATTTATTGGTTAGAACTACTATTATTAGAAAAAGTATCTTGAAAAAAATATATATATGAAAAACAAAGTGGATTGGAGTCTTATATTTGTGATCAAAATAAAAATCGAACGAAGTCTTATATTAAGGACCAGAGATAGTATTAATTAATATGCCTAAAGTGTTTTAAAATATCCTGATGATCTTTCTTAATTTCCTCATTTCTCTCTTACTTGATTATTATTGAAAAATATCATTAAAATTAATTTTAAAGAATTAATAAATATGTAAATCGATCTTCTATGCAATATCAATGCCAGCTCTTCAATTAAGGGGGTGTTTGAAAACATCTACAAAACGAGGCTAATTTTTTTATATATTTATTTCGTATATCGTAAAAATATTTTTAAAATTCATCCAAATATCCCTTTAATAATACAGAACAGGAGGAATATTCTAATTTTATCATAATATCATTCAGTGATAGGGAAGAGGAGCGCGAACAAAAACACATAACAGGAAGTAGAAATATAGTGAATCCTTCTCAAGTGTTTTAGCAATACCAATAAGTGCTTTAAAAGAATACTTTTTTATAAAACAAGATAATTTCTTCCACATATTTATTTTGTATACTGTAAAAATATTTTTAAAACTATGATTTGATTTTACTCAAACACTCATCAACGTAACTTTCTAAAACACGACCACTGTCAATGAGTGTTTTGTCAATCGTAATTCTCCCTGCCATCTCCTTCCCAGCCTCGGGGTAGGGGGCTCAAGAGTGATTTTATGCTATACAAGATAAATATATGGAGGAGTTTACCTCAATTTACAAAAAAAAAATCTTTTTAAAACACTTTTTGGTTTACCAAACACCCTCTAAGTATTTGCCTGGAATAATGATTAAATTATTTAAAAGCAACTTTTTAATCATAACCTATGCTCCTACTGGTTTAAAATATAAGTTAAACTTTATCCATTTATATTTATCAATAAACTAGTTAAAATCAATTTTAAAAATAAATATGTAAGAGATATATATTTTTTCAAAATATGCCCTTATTAATAAAAAGAGTAAGTAAAAAATTCAATAAATGAAACAAAAAGAAAAGAGAATATATGGGGGTTAAAACTGGAAAAAAAAACTCATTAAATGTTTAGATAAAAGTGAATATTATCTTATAAAAAAAAAAGTCCTTCTAACAAAATATAGCTTATATTTTGAATCGAAGGAGTAAAATATAACATATAACCGAAGATGTTTGTTTCAACTTATGTAAATGTGCTCATAAGCAGTAGCTCCAAATAAGTCCTGAATCGGTATAACCTTTTAGACTATAATAAACTTATTCTTCATTTAATTCAAATTTCACAGTAAGTATACAGATATTTGATGTTATAAAGAAGTTCATATTATTAAGACAATCTTATATCGGAAAAAAGGAAAGAGAGAGATGACTTTAGCATTATTTTATTTATTTGTTCTGTGTTTATTTATTATTATTACTATTTTTTGAGCAAATTATTATTATTACTATTTAAAACAAACAAGATTTATTTATAAAAAAAAACCGCATCGGTTTGAGTTAATAGCTTCTTTGAAAAAGGAATTAAGAGTAATAGTCACTATCACTAAATTGTAGTATTTTATTAACATGCCCGTATAAAAGTAGCATACCATAAATTTAGCGTTTTTTGTGTGATGGAAATATTAGTAATACTAAAAAAGCTCCAAATACGCGAATCGGAACCTCCATGGGAATGGAATAATATAATCAGAGAAAAACGTGCGGTTAAATATAAATAAATAACAGCTCATCATAGTCACAGACCCAAGATTAATCTCAAAAGACAGGTTTGATTTCTTTTTTCCCTGTCTATAAATACACCTCCCTATTGTTGGCGCTCACATCAGCCAAGCCGAATCCTTCTCACCAACTCTCATACTCTGTCCCAAAGCCTCTCTGTTTCTCATCTCGTCCGTCTTCCTCTTCTTCTTCCATGGCTGGTCTTCAACAATACAACTTCTTCCCCACTGATCTCTTCTATCCTCGTCCTCAGCCTTCTTCTTCGTCTCTGGAATCGGCTTCTGTTAAACCCTCAAGTCTTCCCCTTAAAAGCCCTGATGTTGAAATCTCTCAGGATCTTCGTCTTCAGGAGCGACCAAAGAAGAAGCCGCAACAACCTTCAGAATATGCTCTGCTTCATAATCTCAAGAAGAAGCAGTCTAAATACTCAATAAACCCGCTCTCTTTGGCGGTCTTCATTGAAGACGGCGACGTCCCTCGCAATAATTGAATTTTGCTTTCGCCATAACTCCCAAGGAAAGATCTTCATTTTTATGCTGTAACCCTCTTTTCTGTTCTCTCTCTAGAATTAGATTTTTCCTTTTTGCTTGTTTTCTCATGTATATTTCCTTATGTGAGGGTTCTGTAAAACCCATGAATCTCAGGTTGATCTTCTTCTAAGTTTTTCTTTCACCCTGCCGAGGAAACAAAGGTATGTGTGTATGCGATTTCTTGAATCGCCGACCAATAGAACCAGAGCGTTCATGACGTTAAAGGTCCTGAACCCTGAAAGTCGAAGTTAACAATAAAACCGAAGCTCGTGAGTTATTATATTTTGATGGCTTCAGCGTTTTCTAGTTTAGACGAACGTGTAGTTGAACAGAGGCAACTCTGGATGTCAGCGATCGAAACGGCGGGGACGTTAGAGTTAGGTTGTTTCGGTCTTCAGAGAATGTCACGAAGGATTCCGAATTGTCAACGGTGAATAGTAACTCCCATCCCATGCGAAAATCAATGAGAGAGAAAATAGATCCCAGAGCGCGTGTGTGTGCGTGTGCGTGTGCGTGTGTGTGACCTTCGTGTTGGAGAATATGCCACGGCGTGTAGCTCACGAAAGTATATTTTCATAAAAGCGAATATCCGGTGAATGTGCTTCTCGTTTTGTTTGGTTGGGTAGTTAAGTTCAGGCCCCTCTCGAATATGATTATTACTGCATGGCTCAAGTTTGGGAAAGATAAAAATTTTAATATCACTTTCAATCCTAATTATAAGATCTGTTTGTAATCTATAAATAAGATCGGAGGTAGCATATAGCTTTATATGTATATACTGACCAATTTGAAACTAATAAAAAAGCGTTGGTGGACATGCCACTTAAGTGGTCCTGAGTACGGAATCTGATGTAAATGAGTTGTTAATTGTCGATAATTCATGTACTGATACTAATGTTTGTATTATGCGAACTATCTTAATTTCGAACGAGGTTTTGTTTGCTGCTACTAAGCTGGTTAATAATTAAAACATGTGAATTATATATATATAAAGGATTCAATACGAATTACAGATATCGGTACTCTAAATTATACACAATTTTATGTCCAAGAATGAGGTTCATAGACCAGTGCTTTAACTAAGTAAGAATTTTATCACTATCAGGACGAGAATCTGGTCTGGAAAAACAAGAGTAGAAGCTAATTGAGAGAGACAAGGAACTTGCTTTATCGTGAGCATGATTAAATCGTAGATGTTACCATGACCAATGAACATAGCAACAGCTTAACCCTAAAAAATTATATCAAGAATCAAACCAGAGTCAGTGGCGGGCGCTTGAGATCAGAGGAGTGTAATAAAGTAAAAGTCAACAGTGATGTAAAGAGGCTGAATAGGAGTTTAGAAAAAAATATATTTTTGGGGGAGGAGTGGCTGACTTTGCGGTCGATTGACCCCTGTATTGGATTATTGAAGAAAGAAGGACCAAGCGTTCCATTAAAATATCTGAGGGATCATGTGATGGATAGTTAGCTTCAGCGTGCCACCAACCACCTCAGGACCCACCCACAATTTTGTGGGCGTTAAGCACACTTACCTCCCCACCAAATTTTTGTGGCCTCTGCTTCTCTCGCTTCCATACATATTGGAGGGCACTGCTTTCAACTAACACTTTGGGTAGTTATCATTGATTATTCCCTTCACGAGGTATTTGAATAAAAATTAAATTATGGTTTTAAAATTAATTTCATAATATACGAAATTTTTTTTGATTTATATGAAAATACGTGTTTTGTAAAAGTGATTTTTCTTAATTCCAAACACTCCTTTAGACTAGTTTGCACTCTCTCGAAAACGTGATGAGTCCCATCCCATGCTCCTTAAAAAGAGAGCATGGAATACCTGTCTTAATTTGCACTTTTCAAATTGTTTTTGGGTAATCTAGACTCGATTTGAATTTTTTTGTATTTTAAATAATTTGTTATTTAAGTATAAACAGAATTTAAAATAAATAAAATCCTATAATCACTGCTTTTTACATAAACAAATTTATTATTAAAAAATATAAATTAAGTATTTAATTTAAGTATGAACTATTTTGAGCGATTAATATTTTATCACAGCGGTGACGAGCACTTGGCGTAACGTGTTATAAAAATAATGGGATATCATTATGTGTCTACTCTAGTGGGTCAATTTCAGCTTCTTTAGCGGCCATGTGGACCTGCAAAACAAAAGGGGGTGGAATTGGATCCATGAGGAAACTTCTAGAAGCGCTGGCCACCCAAGAGAACTGAGCCCACCTCTTAACAGGCTAAGTTGGAACAAGGGATAAAAACAAAAACGGACCACGCCCAACAGATCGGACCGGATTTCGAGTTAACGCTGAAGGCCAAGTGCTGCCAGAGTCAGTTTCCAGCATCAATATTGGCAGGTCATGATGCTGCCAGCAGCCCAATGGCATATTAGTCCGATCTCTTCGTAAGTAAACAAGTTGTGAGTTTTATATCGCTTATAATTTTACATTGTCGGCGACTTAATTTATCTACCTCTCAGTAAATAATTAAAAAAAAGAAAAATGACAAATAAAGATAAGGAAAACTATAAATTCTCAAATAATGATTTATTACACTTTAATAAGTTTTGAGAACAATTGACTTATAAATAACAATATATTTTTGTAAAAAATTTTGATTTGTGATTTTGTAATTTTCACGATTTTTTTAATCATTTTCTCAACCAAAAAAAAAAAACCGCAGAGTGGATATTATATTCAGCCAGAGTCGATCAGCCTGTGCTTGCTGCTGGTATCTCTCAACTCATCTCATTGTATTGAACAATTCAACTAACGAGACGGCTAGGACGGTCAATACGTTGCTTATTTATGTTATTCTTGGTCCTTACAAGACCTAATTGTTTTTTTTAAAATATCCTTATTAATCATGTATATTAATTACAGTTATCATTTTATAAAATTTTTAACATGTGTAACTACTATAATGATTACTTTGAAAAATATAAATACACATAAAAGATAAAATGGATTTAGGTTTTATATTTAAAATTAAATTAAAAGTCAAATAAATTCCTATAATAAGAAATGGAGGTAGTATTATTTATGCGATGCTTCAGGCCTTTTAACTCAACATTAATACCACTGACATGGGCGATGGTTATCCCTCATTACAGAACTGATCTCTCTCAGAATAAGTCATTTAGTCAGCAAAATCAACGTTGAACGAAACGTTTTAGGAATGTACTTGAGAATTTCACGGTAGCAAGTTAACGCCTCAATTTTCATTCCAACAATCACAACGACGTCGTTAATTGACTTGTGCGTAAAACTAATTTAAACGCCATTTAACCATAGAAATATACAAATACAACAAAAAACTAACAACGACAAAACATTCTCGGAAGACTCTAAAACTATGTTTTAATTAAGGCATTCATTTTACGTAAAATTGATGCTCGTCTAGACCCGTAAGCCAAGCTCCAGTTTTAACCTGGTTCGGTGCGATTATTGCCTAGCACAGAAGAACTCTCTTATGATTATCATTTTTGAATTCGAGATTTAGAATGCTAAAAGAGAGATTTTAGTTATGATTACACGCAATGGCCACGCTCTTCAAGATAATCGTCATAATCATCAGTGGCCACTTTTGCTCCTGAGCTTTCAGATAATTGCGATATTTTGTTGAGTAAAGGTTTCACCCTCCACGATCCGTCCCCAGCAACCCCATGTGCGCGCAAAGCTCGTTATGGGAAGATTTTTGGGCTCGTGCTTCCCATATCCCAGACATGCAATTTATTACTAATTAATCATTACATCGTATGTAATTGATGGGACCTCAGGAACCAAGAGCGTTGTCCAAGCTAATAAGCATTCATTGTCTGGAGATTTTTCCACTCCACCACTAGACTTGGGTATATTTAAAAAGCTTTTTTTTAATAATAAATCGCGGGATGAATTAAAATTTAAATTCCTTACTACTGATGTTTGATAGTATTTTAAATAAGATTGTCTATATTAAAATGATACGTGTTTTTAAAAAAAAAAATCTTTTGATCCTTGTATATAGTGAAATCTTTCGATTCTTATATATAATGAAGTAACATAGACAAGTCATGTGCATATAGGTCACGTGCATGCACGGCAGACAGATACCATTTGAAAATGAAAATTCAATATTATTTCCATACTTTTATAATTGACCAGACACGTTTTTTTGGCGTCATATGTGATTTAAGAGATAAGTTTTTTTTTTTTAATTCATTGTAACTTACCTGCTCGTTACACTTTCTATTATTGAGATCCAAACTCACAGCCTCACATTCAAAAATGTCTTGACAAAAATGTTTAGTATTAGTTGGATTACAAATCCCCACTAAAATAAGCTCTTTATACTATGCTGATATCAGTATTTACATATTTAAAATTCATTTGAAATCTAATAAAATTGTATGAAAGTGATGTATTGGATGTTAAGTGCTGCTTATTACTACGAGAATGGATAATTATATTTTATTTTCCAAAAGGAACGTGATAGCTACATGATATATGCCCTACTAATACTGTTTTGATTTTTAATATAAGAGTCACTTAATTAATTTGACACAAGTTAAAAAAAATAAATGAATTACTGCTTAATTATACTTCTCCGGTCCTTAATATATGACCTAATTGTTGAGTTAGTTTTGGTTCTAAATATAAAAACTATTTCTCATATTTATTAATTTTCTCTAAATTATCCCTAAGAATATGCTCTCAACCATGATCAAGTAGAAGAGGAATATGGGGTATTAAGAAAGATGATTATGATATCTTAGGAAAAATGTGTCACATTTCTTATAATTAATTAACTTATAACTTTCTTAATATAATCAAATTAGTTAAATGAGTCTTATATTCGGAGGAGTAACAAATATGACATGATCTTCTTAAAATATTTTAATCATTTTTATGTAATATTTTTTGGCCAGCAGTAACTCTATGTAATATTAAATTGTATATTATAAGTTAAATAAATTAGTCTAAAAATAATAAATATAAGAAATAATATATATCAAGATGCCATATCTCTGATAAAAACTAACCTAGTCCCCCCCCCCCCACAACTAACTTCGTAACTAACTTATACATGTTACAACATAAAAAGTACATTGCTCTAAATAAACATGTCCTTCGTTCCAAGAAAACACACAAATTAAACCCAGCCCCTGCCGCCCTGCGCTAAAAACGGTCCGGTCACTAAACAATATAAGTCTCCTCTCTTTTTAGTAAAACTCTAAAACCACGGTAACGCCTAGAACTGCCCACAAGATCATTGCGACAAAACGAGGATCTATACCTGTGGAACCTAATAGACTCATATAGTAAATGGCTCAATCCCACCAGAAATGATCCTGTGGACGAGTTTTTACTTATAAATTATTTAATTATTAATTATTGATTATTAATACTAATAATTCGAAAAACACGAATGGGACGGAAACTATAAAGCCAGCAAGGCGAGTCAACAAAGGGAAAGGGTAGCCTCACACGGACCATTCTATTGACCCCACTAGCTGCTCCCGGGTGCGTCCGAAGGTGCACAGTGGACGGTGCATTGTTTCCATCGAGCCCGCGGGCCCCACCCCCTTCCGAACCTTTGCCTCCGAGGCTCGGGACCCTAACCTGTCTTCTTATTTATCTTCCTCCCCACCTCGCTTTCGCTACTTCGCATTCTCTATTCGTTCTTGCTTCGCCCCTTGGTCTGAACTAGTCATCGCCTTTATTTCCTTGCAGGTAATTTGTTCTCTCTCCTCTCCGATCTGTTCGCGATCCCAAGGGTTTTCGTTTTTATATGAATATCTGCGTTCGAATTTCTGTTTGGCTGCGGGGAAGGAGATGAGACCGAGGGAAAAATTGAGGTGCCAACGTTTGACTGGTTTTCAAGAATTAGGCTTTATCACGAAAGATGATGAAAAATACGTGAACCAGTATTGTTTTATAACGGGACAAGGATTAGTGGTGATTTTGGTTCTTTGACGCTGCATTTTGCGAGACTCAGGAAGATCGATTTAGTTTTCCGCGAGCAAGAACCGCTCGATCAAATTATGAAATGTCTTCAATCATTCGGTTTCCTCATGATCTGCTCGAAATTTGGGATCTCTAATCTCATTCTATTTATGATTACTTGGCCCTGGACACAATGATGAACTGTATCTTATTTGCTATGGTCGTATACTCTTGTGAGTCATGGAATTGTCAACCGCCCGGTCAAATTCGTTGTTTTTATCTTCGTTCTTTTTGGTTCATCTGGTTTGAATCACGCGGTGAAACACTTAAATAGTTTAAAATATAATGACTTAGGGTTGACTCCTCGGGTCGCTTATTATCTTGGGTGGGCTTCTAACTCGAAGGTTTCAAAATATAATGATTTTGTTGAGGTCGTAACTGCAGGGGAGTCAAGAATTGTTTTGGCTTGAAACTACGAATAACTTCCGTGTTTTGATCTTGTAAATTCAGAATATCAAGCTTATGTTGCCTTGCCAACGGGATTGTTTGCACATACTTTTGTTCTTGTAATCTTGGTGGGCCTGTGTGTGTATGTTGTTTTTATTATTATATTCGATTTAGCTCTTCATCCTGCCCAATACTGTTGCTGATCTGTCACCGTGCCCTGTGACACAGATCAAGAAGAAGGATCTAAGTCAAACTCAAAAGATGGAATTACTCTCTGGAGGAAGATCAACATTGAATCCTAATGCTCCTATCTACATTCCTGCTGCCTTCCGCCAAGTGGAGGACTTTTCTCCAGAATGGTGGCAACTGGTAACAACGTTGAGATGGTACCATGACTATTGGCTTAGCCAGCAACAGGATGGGGAAGGATATTATAACAATGCTGAGGTCGAATTTGATAGCAGTGATGTGCTTGATTTGCTGCCTGATACATTTGATCTTGACGCTGATGAAGATCTTTCTGTGATGGAAGCCCAGCTTGAGGAATTCATTCTATTTTCTAAGGCTGAAGGTAAGAATGCGAAGTTGCTAATTTAATGCCTAACTTGACTATTGAAAATTTCTGCACTGGGGGTACTATGGGAGACTCAGATTAAAATTTTTAATTCACCAGTTATTACGATGAAGCAGTTTGAGATACTTGAATTTTTCCTTACATCTGTGATTTGTCTAATTCATATTGTGGTTTATATATTGACGAACTTCCAATTTTCAGCTGAAACTGGTCCAAACACTCTCGTGAAAACGGAGCGTGGAGCAAAGCCACCAACTGCATAAGCAGCCTAAGATGCAGGTATCTGTGCAATCCAATAACCGGACTGAACGCCTGATCCCATGAGCATGCTGAGAATCGGGCTGGCGGTCGTTGAAGCTACTTAGTACTCACCATATTTGCTGTAGCTTTTTACCTTCCTGTAACTCCTGTATAGGCAATGTTCTGACTTTTCATATGTCCGCATCCTGCATTGTTTCCAAAGTCTCCTTTGGTAAACAGTCAAGTCAAACATAAAAAAGAAAAGTTTAGCAGACAAATTTGTATCGCAAGACCCGCAACATGTGCTATAGAAGTGTTAAAAAAAAAAAAGAGAGAGAGAGAGAGAGAAAGAAATCCATTATGTCACTTGATTTCAGCTTTCTCTTGTGGGATGGCATGTGGCCTCATGGAGTTGACTTGCATCTATATAAGTACTATGCAATATATAATTTTTTTTGCCAACGTACTATGCAATATATATATACAGCATAAAAATTATAAAAATTTATTCCAGTTATATCGTTAATTATTCAGATGCAGATTTTGCTATTTTGGGAGGGGGGGTCGGTGTGCTGTCTCTATTGTTGTATCATATGAATTGGGTTATGCTGTCCCACACTAGGGTTCCTGGCTTCATAAATTGACTTGGGCTTTTGACCTCTAAAAAGGGGAGAGGAGGAAAAATATGATCAATGGATCTTCTCTACATGTGCACTTATACATTAGGGGGAAAGGTCATGCAAGACGCTCTCATGCACGCACAGTCATGGATTTAAATTTTGATAGTATAATATTTTGCAATTTGAGCATGTAGATGGGTTGAGACTCAGATCAGTAGTCATGTGTTTAAATTTTGATAGTACTACTTTCGATCTTTAATATAAGAGCTAATTGATTAATTTGAGTAGATTAAAAATATTAGTTAAGCTGTTTATTAATAATAAATAGGTGTTGTCTTTCTTAAAATATTTTTGTTAATCAAGTATATTGGTTAAAACTTTCGTCATTACAAAGAATATTTTGAAAAAAAAATAGATAGATATGAGAGATAAAGTGAAATTGTGTTTTATATTTAGATTAAAATAAAAGACAAACAAATTTTTATATTAAGAATCGGATAGATAGGTTAAGGCTGAGATCAGACTGAATAATAGGAAGATACCGGAACGAAAAAGTACTACTGAACTGAACAATAGGAAGACACCAGCACGAAAAAAGATACCGGAACGAAAAATTACTACTGATCTGAGTCTCAACCTATCTACATGCTCAAATTGCAAAATATTATACTATCAAAATTTAAATACAAGACTACTCATGGAAGGGGAGCGTTCTCAACCGGCAATATGTGTAAATCTCTTCCAAAGTATTAAAGGTAAAAAGCATTTTGATAAGCCGGCACAAAAAAGCATTTTGATAAAAATATTTAAGATAAAAATCATCTCAAAATTATTATTTATCTGCTTTACTAAACAAAACTCACCAAAATCATATTTCTTAACTAAAATTTTTAAATTTGTTTATTTTATGCATAGAGATTAAGCCTTCCACTCATTTGACAAACGACAAAGTCATCAGACGCACTTTTACCCCAAAAAAAAATACAAAAATCAGATGCGCGGATGCCCCAAAAGGAATTTGTTTGTTTTCTGTTTTTTCACTTTTGGGCCTTATTTCCTTTTGTCTTTGTTTTGATTGGATTAGACACATTGTACGATCTCCTGGCCCAAAAACTTGATCTCGCCAGCTGATTGACGAAAATGACCCTGGAATTTCTATATAAGCATGCACGCCGCCCTCGGCTCCCGCCTTACATGGAAGTTTTGTTCCACTCTGTATTCCAACAGTAGTACACAACACAGAAACAATGGCGCCAAAAACAATGCCTTCGTCTCCAATCCGTATCGGTAAAACCCTAGAATGCAACATTTTTCGTTGTTTTGCTCCATTGCTGACCTGGACCTCAACACTTTTTTTCTCTCACAGGTAACTGCGAGATTCTCGTTGAGGCCAAAAGTTTCACCTGCAAGTCGGATTCAAATGGCCTCCAGATTTCTCTTCCAGGAAGGGGGAAGATTAAAGTATCAGGTGTGCGATAGTGATTTGTCCCCCGCTAAGAAACATATATCGTAAAACGGGGATTGATTGGGATTTTGACGGAGATTGTTTGTGGCCTTTTATCTTCCAATTTTGCAGTTGTGAAAGGCGAAGTTACGACTAAAGGAAATGATTCTGAGAATTTTAAGCTTGAAGATAGAGGTGAAATGTTACATTCACATATCATTGTATCGAGTGTTTGAGAGTTTAGTCTTTATGACTATCCGATGACTGTTTGATAGTTTAGTCTTTATCACAATCCAATGATGTTTTTATTTTTAATTTTTTTAAATTTCCGGGTTTATGTAGATCATAAATTCGTCCTTGTTAATCCTAAAGATGCTGACGGCACTACCAAATCCTACCTGCAGGTAAAACTTTTTCTCTCTGTGTGAGACTGTGTATCTGGTGTGAGTCTCCATGTTTACAGAATCTTTTCTCTTCGCTCTTGTATATTATCAGTTTAAGTTAAAGTATTTCCGTCAATGAGTGGGCAGGAAGTATTGCAGATGTATATGACAGAACTTCCTGGAATGAATTATGCTGCGAATACTGGAAAACAATCAAAATTTCTTGAGAGATGCGTAACTAATGGGTATTACGTTCTTCTCATTTCACTCTCTTCCCTTGCGTGCTTATAGTTGTTCTGCAGTGCTAGTTCATTAATCACGCTGATCGTAATTTACAGTCTCTTTTTGGGGAAAAATTGTTACCCGTGTGCCTTAAGATTATATACATGTCGCGAGTAAGTTGAATGGTGCAAGAAACTTTCATTCATTGATTGTTTATGCCTGCAGAAAATATCGTACGCTGCTTCTGAAATCTGGTTCTGTTGGAAATTCTGGAAAGGTATGTTTGCCAGGTGAACCTGAGTGCATGGTTAATCCCACTAGTGCTAGTTCATTAACTATTGACCTTGCTGATCTCATGCTGATCCTTTCCTTTTCATCTTAAAGATCACCAGGATTTACCAATTTATAATTAATTTAAAAATTCGTTTCTTTCCATTTTATAATCATGCAGTTGAATGTATCAGTGGGATTATAGAAACACTTATTTCTTTATTTAATCCGTTTCGTCCCCATATAGGTTATAGCTGCTATCACATATCAAATAGTCCCTGCAGATACAGAGTATGCAGAGATCCCACTTGCAGCGGTCAGTGCAATCTATCAACGCAAGGTCTGTTCTTCTCCTTATTTACATTTTCTTAATTTAATTTTATCTTTTCAAAATATCATGATGTCATGATGACTAGGGTCCAAGAGATGAAGTTGTAATGACTAATGTGAAGAAATAAAACTATTTTGTTGTTGTTGTTGTTGTTTTTGGTTGGTTCCAAGATTTGCTTGAAAGCTTCCAATAGTAATTTTCTTGTTCTTGTATCTTATAACGAAGAGGCGATGCCTTTAGGAGAACCATTTTAATAACCAGCACTGCCACAGTGAAATCTCTGGGAAGTGAGGTACATAACGCATGAAATTCAAATTGCGTGCTAATCTTGTTTCTGAAGGATCTGGTAATCAGAAGTCTATCTGAATTTCAAACTGTTCAAGTATAAAGATGGTGCAGCTTATATAATAGTTTAAGCACTTTGTTAATTCTCTAACACACGACCTCTGCTCCTTGTTTAGGTTCCATTTATGCTGGCACAGTAAATTTCACTAACTTATTGGCTCAAGCAAGCTTTCTAAGTTAATATTTTACAGGGTCTTGGTCATATGTTGTTTGTAGAGCTACGGAAGAGATTTCAAGATGTTGGCATTCGTTCAATTTTCTGCTGGGGAGACAAAGAATCTGAAGGGTTTTGGGTTAAACAGGTAAAACATAATTAAAACATGTCAGGATTGGGGACCATCTTAATAGTCATATCTGGTTGTTTACATTTATAGATTGTTGTTTCATTTTTGAGCCTTCCTGTTAAGGGTTAAAGATGTAAATTATAAATAAAACATCCCAGGATAGGAGTATGAAGCATCTTATAGTCATATCTTGTTGCTTACTTTAACAGAATCTTTTTTCATTTTTGAGTCTTTCTTTAAATGCTTCCAGTGCTGGATTGATACACAAGCGTTTTTTTAAATGAGTGAATTTAGTATAACATTTAACTAGAAAGGGCAAATTTCATGGTAAGATGAATACTCAACGTTGTCCCATGCAATTTGCTAAGCATAGAGCCATAAATTTTGTTAATTCATGTGAAAGTTGTTTCTTCAGTTCTGATGCTACTGTATTTTTTTTAAGTTTTAACTTTGGAATTGCAGGGTTTTATATCAATAGCAGAGGTGGACACCAAAGGTAGAGCTCGCAAGTTACCTATAAAAGCTGATATTCGTAAAGCATTATGCTTTCCTGGTGGTTCTACACTCATGATTTTCCATCTAAGGATGGGATTTTCAGCTGACGCTACTAACTCTATGAAGTGTCTTCCCTCACAACAACGTCAGAATTACTTGACATTTGGAAATGACAAGAACGACCAGCTTAAATTTACAGGACAGTTACACATTGATTTGAATCTTTCAAACAACTCTACTGATAGAACAGATAATATGGAAACTAGTCATCCCAAGGCTTTGGTGAATGATGGATTTTCAAAAGAATCTGATGAATTGAGCGGTGCGTTTTCTCCTGGTATATCTTTTAATCTGTCTGTCTGGGCGTCTCCCTCTCCTATTTGGGGATATTTTCTGGAGTCTAATAGTTTTTTAAAATTGGAGGGAGCAACTGTAGTCTCTTTGCTTAGGTCTATTTATTGTATATTCTATAATCTTTTGCTCTATAAACAAGATTTGATGGTTGCAATTATTTGCTGGTGCAGATGGTGAAACACCACCCGCTGTTGCAGGACTTGCAAACGATGAAGTTGATGCTGAAATGAAGGATTGTTCTAATTCCACAAAAGGTGCAAAGAGGACCTGGGAAGCCTCTTTGTCATCCTTAAAGTCAAAAAGAGTGAAAGGTTGCCATTTAGTTGATGATAGATCTGAGTCTAGCTGGGGTTTCGTGTCAGAGGTTGATAGGACTAATTCTTGTTTTGTGGGATGCTCATGGGGTGTTTTGAGCGGAAAAAGTTCAGCAGAGCTCCCATATGGTGACTCTTTGATTGTCCAAGAAAAGAATTCTGAGAAACTCAAAGGGGATTATTTAGATTTAGAAGCTCAAGTCAACAATGAACAGCTATCAACTAAACAATGCTTTAGAATCATGCTGATGAATATTGCTGATGATGCTAAGAAAATGCACCTTACAAAGGTATGTTTGATAGTTGCATTACCAGAGAAATTCTCATGTACGGGATTGGCAGTACTGGGTACTGGCATGTTGCTTTAATTGTCCTTTATGTCGGAATACGCTTTGCTTCTTCTGAACAAATCAATCGTCTTCCTTGTGAGGACTGATTCACCATAGTTGGGAGGAACAAAGTTTTTAGAAATCAAATTGTGTCAAACTGAATTTTTTGAAAATTATTTTTCTCTAGTAATGTGATAAATTCCTGGAGATTGTGTCATGTATGAAGCCTTGACGATATTCTTCTTATAAATAGGTAATTGAAGCCCTTGGTGGCACTGTTACCTCTGAAGGAAGCATGACCACACATATTGTCACAGGCAAAGTGAGGAAAACTTTGAATTTCTGCACTGCCCTCTGCTCAGGGTTAGTTCTAAACGTCCATTTGCCTAGCTTCATAGAGAAAGTATTTGTGGATGAAATATATTGTTTAAATAGTTTTCATTTGCGGCTAGAGCTTTTGAGATTATCGGAGTCTTTGTTTTTCTGGTTTAATTTTGATATGTTGATGCTACGCATATCTCTTGTTTCTTGAATGAAGCGGATTAATTTGTTTCGTCATCTTTGATCACCTTTGAGTATGAGTGTTTTGAATCTTGCATGTTTTTCGGTCATACGCATGTTTTCCTTATATACCACCTAAATAATCTTATCTAACTTCTGCATAGTTATTTTTCATCTTATTTTAATTTAATTGCTGATATTCCTGAAAAGTGTTCACAATTTGCCAAGATCTTAAAATTTTAACAGTGCACTTATTTGCAGATTAAAATGTTCTTTTTTTCCTAGGATTAATATAAACTTTAGTCTCTCAAGTTTGCCCTCATATTTGTTTTGGCCCCTTAAGTTTTAAACCATAAATTTTGGTCGCTCAAGAGGCAAAATAGTCCAAGTTTTTATTAGATTATAGGGATCAATGTTACAAATAAAAAGAAACTTGAGGGATCAAAACCAATGGTTTGAAACTTGAGGAACCAAAACCAAAACTAAAATGAAGGCAAACTTGAGGAACCAAATTTTGTATTAATTCCTTTTTTCAACTATTAAATTCATTATTGTCTTGAGATTGTTTTTTTTTAATTTGCTTCTTTTCGGCTTATTTCTTTTAATTAAGTAAAGTTTCCAGTAGATCATGTCAACCGACAGCAGATAATACAGAGAGCACTTCTTGCAAGATCACTTCATGGGAAATGAAGCCGTGCCTGATGCACTTAAATGCACACTATCTTAAGATATCTATGGTGAACAATGAGTGGCAAAACTAAACTAGTTACTGGACGATGCACGTCGAAAATACAAACCTAATAAAAAAAAATGAAATAAATTGATTAATGTTTGTAGTTTTGTCATCACATGGTAGTTCTCTTTCTTATTTTATTAATTTACTAAGCACTGGCTCCTGTTTTGTTTCACGTTTGATGTGATTAGTGTTGTGCATATGATAGTATCATACTCTTCCAGTCCTTAATGTAAAACCTATTTAACTAATTTGATGAAATTAAGGAAGTTATGTAAGTTAGTTAATTTGTTTCCTAAAATACCATAATCATCTTTCTTAATATCTTTTCTCCCTCTCCTACCTGATTATGGTTGAGGTATTGAAAAAAAAAAAAGTTATACACAACTCATGTGGATGTTACTACACAGGGCATGGGTGGTCTCATCAGATTGGTTAAAAGAAAGCTGTCGTGAAGGCAAATTTATTGGTAAGTCAAGCCAACTATCTAGTTTAATATCTTTTATTCATTTGGCAATATAACCACTCGTTATTTTAAATCAATATGCAGATGAGTTGGCTTACATATTAGATGACAAGGATTACCTATTGAAGTACAGATCTGATTTAAAAAGTGCAGTTTTCCGTGCAAAAGCCAACCCCCGAGCTTTATTCAAGGGGTACAACGTGTGCATTGCAGAGCATGTTCAACCTCCTGCTAAAACACTATCTGCAATTGTGAGCTCTGCTGGTGGCAATGTGAGTATAGTAATTAGACTGAAATCTGAATATGGTTTAAGAAAACTATAGAGTATGTGTTTGGAAACCCCCCCCCCCTCTTGGCTTAGTAGAATATTGCACCTTATAAGCGTGTACTGTACTGAGAACTAACCATATGAAACATTTGAATACCAATTCTGACATGGTGCGACACACGCAGGCATATGCGCGCACGCACATGAAAACATGTTGTTTGACCTCTCTCTCTCTCTCTCTCTCACACACACACACACACTGTTTGACATATCACACCCAATCATAAAAACAGTGTTTGACCTCTTAAGGATGGTTTACTTCATTCTTTTCCCGTTCTCCAATACTCAAAAGTTCCAAAATTCAATTCTATTAAGAATAGTGCTCTGAAGATTTCTATTCTCAAAAGGTTAAGCTGTTTTGCTATTAGTTCTAATTTAAGATTCTCGTTTTAACTATATCAAGGTTAGAATTTCAAAGTGAACTGAATATTGGAAAAGCTGAATTCCTTGAGAGAGAGATTTCTCCAGTCTTATCTTTCTTTTTCTTAGCAAACCACCCATATCTGGAGTTAGACTCCGACTAATTTGGATCAAGCCGGGTCGTGCTTGAAAAATGAGGTAGCTTTCTCAAAGATGTCTTTTAAATCCACAAACCTGAACTCAAAATATCTTGTGGTTTCATTACATTATCTTTTAGGTTACCTAAAGTGGTGATGAGTTTTTTGGAATTCACAACTAATCACTCGATGAGCCCTTTGGGAAGTGGTACCTTCAAATTCCATTGCCAATTGAAATTTTTAATCATATAAAGCTTCCTTAATGCCAAGCATAAGCCCTTTATCTTTTCCTATTTATTAGGAGCTATTTTCTTTACATACAGCAGGGAAAAACTTGAGAGTTGTCTTGCATCTGCTTCCTGCTCACTTAAGTTTTGCTTGCTTATAGATAAATATATTCAATTTGTCACAAATTCCGCTGTTTTGGTATATCAGGTTATTCGTGGGTTGAAGAAAGTAAATGAAACATCCTCAACCATTTTTGTGACATGTGAAGAAGATATGGAAGAAGCAATGGTAGCTGCAAAGAAGGGGATCCGAACTTTCAGTAGTGAGTGGTTTATGAACTGTGTCATGAGACAAGAACTTGACATGGGGGCCTTTCAGTTTGCAGAGTCCTTATGAGGATGGTGACTTGCCGAGTGATGATTAACATGATTTCTTGTGATGCAGAATTAGACCATATCTATCGCCACCCATGTATATTTTTTTTGCCCAATGGGTTCATACCCCTAAAGAGAGAGTTCTAGTGCAACTCGAAATTTGACCATGCGGGTAATATGACAAGGTAGCCCCGCCGGCGGTTGTTGTAGTTTTGGGCTTGTAACTGGATTTATCGCTGATTTTGCCAGAAACGTTGCAAATCTACTTGAGATGTATAGAGAAAGAGACCTGTGTGGTTGGAGAAATGGAAAAAAGATCTTGTTATCCTTAGGGGGTGTTTGGCAAAACCAAAATCACGGTTTCAGAATCACTTTTCCGCAAAACGAGGTAACCTCCTCCACATATTTACTTCGTAATCCGTAAAAGCACTTCTGAAACCATAGTTTGGCTTCTATCCAAATACCCCCTTAATGTATTTCATTCGCCAATGTGGAAGATCTTCTGTTAGGATTTACATTGGGTGCTCATCAGTTTTGATGAGCATCCAATGCTCATCAGATCTAGACGGTCCGAATTTATTTTTATTTTTAAAAAATAATTATTTTAATAGGTATAAGATAAAAAATAAAAATAATCTCTTAACTATTATTTTTTAAAATAATTATTTAATAATATTAAATTTGAACGGTTCAGATTGCTTATCAGGTGATGAGCATTGGGTGCTCATCAGGTGATGAGCTTGATAAGCATCGAATGGAGACCTGTTCTGTTAATCTCGTTTTTAAATTGTCAATCTTAATCATTTCCCCTGCTTTTTTGGCGTCGTCGATCTTAGTATAATGATGATGATAACCGGAAATTTTTCGCCCACAGACAAGCGGCAAGTAAAAACACCAGTTTTTCCTGTCTTTTTTACGAGTTTTTTTTTAAATTTTTTTAAAAGAAGTTACCTTGATTGTATATATAAAGCCGTATACGAATTTTTTCAAGCATTAATTTTCTTAACTAAATCGATGAATTAAGGGGCAGTTGAATTTTTTTTTATCAAAAAAAAATCGGCACATGAATTTATAAAATAAATAAGGATGGATTAAGAAAGTCGAGAAAATTTTACATATTAAGTACTTCATCTTTTCAAAATAATCATTTTTAAGTGTTTTTCTCTCTTATTCTTTTTCTTAGAAAAACCCTTTTAGGATATTTTTTCAAAAATATATTGATTGACTGTGAAACATTTCATAAATAAAAATATCATAATCTTCTGAAAAAGTCTTATAAAGAGAAGAAAGAATGATATACATTGAAATGAAGCTTGCGTTGCGTATGCGAATATTATTATATATTTGTGTGTATGTATTTGTTCACATATATTAATGTATTCGAATTTAAAATAAATTAAATATACTGTTCTTTTTTTTTTTCCACCAGCAAACTAAATATAATGTTCACAAGTTATGAACGAAAAAGAAATTATAACTTATTCTTCAATTTTCATTTTCCCGGGTGGCATTATACTCGCCCAACCTTGCCCCTCATTTCTCAATTCTTTTTTATTTAGAAGCAGTTGGCGGCAACTAACGAGCGCAATTCACTATCCACTCCCCCGTTGTGGTTATATTGTAGTCCACTTGTCGTCATTGGCAGCGAACGTCTTTCTGAAATGAATTTGAAGATAAGAATCTCAAGGTTAGAGGGTGCACGGAAGGAGGAGGAGAGCAGTTGGGGAAATAGCTGTAGCGTCCAAACGTAGCAATGGCGACCATCGCCTCTGATCGTGCTTGTGTAAGAAGCTCTTATGATTCTTCGGCTTCCTTCGGTGCCAAATTGCAGGATGCTCTGAGGAAGAAAAAGCCACGTACTCAGCTGGGAATTAGAGCTTGTCATTCCATGGTTGACAGGAAAAAAGTCTACGAACAAGTGGGTCTGTTCCATATTGCTTTCTTTGCACGCAATAGCGTACAGGAACTATAAATGATTTCAGATTTCTGTGGTTCATGTCTGGATTATACTGAAATGTTTGTCAATGGACTCAGTTCCTCTAATTAAATAATGTGTGATTGACTAACTGAGGATAGAAACGGAAGGAGGCATCTTCTGTTTAAGCTTTTAGTAGATAACCAGGGCTAGTGCTCGGCTGTGTGTTTTCTTTCTGGAACGGTTTCTCTTGATGTTTGATTATGGAAGAAATAAGCATTATTTCGCGATAACTGGGGCAAGAATGTGCGTTGATGGTGTTATTTTGGACATTGGTTGATGTGATAATAGGCTTTGTAAGCGTAATATTTACTTTGCTATTAATGTTTTAATGTGGACAATGGTAGCCTATGGACATTTACCTTTTTAGATACCCCCTCTAACCCAAATTAGAAATCATTTTTAACCATTTTACGCTTACCAATAAAGTTTGTTGTTGTTAGTTAAATATATTAAACTTCTCAAAAATTACATTTAACTTTCCAAAAGTACCCTTATTAAATAGTAACCTCATATAAATGATGTCTCTCTTGATTTCTCTCATAAATAAGGGTAAATTTGAGGGAAAAAGACATTTAATGCTCACCGCATTCTATAAAATGACTTGCATTTTGAATATCTCAAATGGTCTTGAATATAACTTACATTTTGGGATGGAGGGAGTAACTAGTAGCAGTGACATTTGATTTGATGGCCTAGAAACTTAAGGCATGATAATTCAATGGCTTGGTGGAATTTGAGAAAAGGTACTAATCAGATGGAAAAGCTACTTGAGCTGAATTACAAATTAATATAAACCCTTTAGGTCATGCTAGTTGCACATACAATATGTGGGGAATCATGCATATATTTTCCCTTTGGAAAAGTGATGCCGTGTGCAACAGCGGTGGCCTTCATCAAACTTGTAGATTGTCAGTTGCTAATTTCTTTATCTCCCTTTTTTCTAGACATAACTTCCTGAGTTGGCCCTCAATTTTATGTTATTGACACCTATTCTGCTAATTTGGCTGGCCAATGCTAAGCCATTGAACCAATTTTAAATAAGGAGTTCTATTAGGCTAGCAACATTTACTATTTGTCTGATGCTTACTTCTTTGGTGTCCATTGTTTCTGACAACCTACTGAAATAAATACAATCAGGTTTATTTTCTCTAAGAAGGAAAATTGAAGATGCAGTTCTTCGTGCTGAGATGTTTGCACCTACAGCCTTGGAAATGGAAGAAGCAAGATGGATTGAGCAAGAAGAAATGATACGTAACTATAATCTATGGGATGATCTTAATAAGTCCAATGACATTCTGCTCAAGTTAGCAAAGAGTGCCAAAGTAGTTGATGCTCTTAAGGACTTAAAATATAAGGTTATCCTCTTTTCACATCAATTTCATCAGAAGTTTGGTTGTGATTCTTTTTTTCCCCCTCCCTATTTGAAACAATTGGTTGCTGATGATTTGTTGGCTTATGAATTTCTGATTTTTTGGAATCTTGTAAATTGATTAATGATAATTGCGATATAGCAATGAATTTAAGAATGAAACATGGATAAATAAATTAATGAGCCATAATAGTTGGAATGCTATTCTATGAAGCTTAGTGATATGACTAATGTTATGAATGACATCTTTTATTATTCAGCATTCATTCATAGTCGTAGCCACTATAAACTTCCTTTTGTAGTAGAGTTCTCCAATCTTCATTCGACCAATCCCCTGAAACCACAATGTGGTGAATGCTTGGATTAGGAATTCTGATATCCTAGAGAAGGCTAGCTAGTATTTTGCTTCCTGATGAAGTTATAACATGACTGCCCTCACAGCTTCAGCATCCCAAAAGACATAATGTTTGCTGTAACCAGTAAAAGCATGTAGCTAATCTCATTCTAGTTTATATTCTTACACGCTTTTTTTCTTTTTTATTTTCGTTTTGCAAAAAATAAATGATTCAGTGTTCTATGTTTTGGTATTCTGCAGGTGGAGGAAGCAAAGCTGATTACTCAGTTGGCTGAGATGAATGCTATTGATTATGGGTTTTATAAGCAAGCATATGAGGCATCTTTGGATGTAAGCAAGATTCTGGATCGATATGAGACGTCTAAGCTTCTTAAGGGCCCATTTGATCTGGAGGGAGCTTGTTTGATCATTAAAGCTGGGACTGGCGTCCGTCATAAGGTTTGATAATCATATGTTTGCTCTTGGCACTTCTTTATGGTAATGAACCTCCATGCTTAGTTTGATCTTGTTTCAAGGAGTACACAGTTGGAACTAAAGTTAACATCACCCCTCGTATTCTTGTTAGAACCTAAATGCTTAATTTTCCATATTGCTGTATCCATAAACACCAAATGCTTCTTTAGTCCTTTCTACAGCAGTTTAATTCAATATGCCAATTTAATCAGGCTTTATATTTTTCAAAGCATACTCTCACATATGTGAGGCAAATTGTTGACAGATATTCTATAAGCCTGAAAATTCATTGAATGTGTGGATTTTTGTATTGTTCTTCCCAATAAAACTGAATGTTCAAAATGAGCTATTGTAAAGCTGGGTTGTTGACAGTCCAAACTGTGATCCAATATTATCTGCGCTCTGGCTATTTATTTACATGTACTTCTGGCATTCTTTGACCCACTTTTGCGTAAATACAGCTTTGGGCAGAACAGCTTCTAAGTATGTATCTTAAGTGGGCCAAAAGCAGGGTGATGAAGGAAGAATAGTTGATAGATGCCTGTTCAAGAATGGTGGCATTGCCTCAGCAACTGTAGAATTTGAATTTGAGTATGCTTATGGTTATCTTTCAGGAGAAAAAGGAGCTCACCACATGATAAGGAGTTCTTTGGATGAATCTTCTCTGCTGGAGGTGACTTTCCTATGCCATGGACTATATCTTAAAATTCACTTCCATTCATGCACCTAAGAAAAGTTTGCATTTGTTCAAATTTGTCCTTGCATGAACCTTTGTGCTTCTTTAAGTGGATATGGACCAAATTTGCTGATTTCACTCTAAGATGTTTTTAAGGAACTTTTCATTTTGTCAGGATTATCATAATCAGGTTAAAAAATTGATGAAAATAAAGAATGTTTTGGAATTGAAATGGGATTTGATCATTAATCAATACTTAAAAATACCGACTGACTGACGGATTTGATAACATTTGAATGGAAGATTCTGTTTACATCTTAAAGCTGTCATTTATGTAATCTTGATTGATCTGCATACAGAATGAGGTTCGGCTGCTTTATTGCCATATTACTCTTTACCCTTTTGCAGTAAATAATGAAATTTTAGGGCCATTTTTGTTCGCAAAAATTAAATTTTGCAGGGCAGCCCAGCAGTTAAGCATGTGGTTCCCGTGTTCCTTGAAAAGTCATCTGACTTGGAAATTGATCATGAGGATTTGATATCATCTTTCTTAGCAAAATTAAATTTTGTAGGCCAGCTCAGCAGTTGTGGATGTTGTTCCGATGCTCCTTGAGAATTCATCTGACCTGGAAATTGATCATGAGGATTTGATTATCTCATCGCCTTCAAGTGTTGGAGAACAGAAGAGCCATACTAGGTCAAGAGTTTGCATTCAGCATCAACCTACTGGGATAAGTGCGGAGTCCGCAGGTACTCACTTACATACATGTTTAGTTTCACGTTTAGTGTTATTCACTTCCTGTCCAGAATCTTGTGTCAGAATTTAATGCTCTAGTAGTTTAAATCAGAACCTCCATTTGGATTTTGAAATTTGATATGAACTTCCCTAGATGTTGAAGCTTAGCATGTTGGGCAGGTGAGAGAACCCTCTTTGCTAGTAAGATGAAGGCGCTTAACAGACTGAAATCTAAACTTGAAGTGATAGCAAGGGAACAAGGAGTTTCCGGGATAAGTGGTATTAGGAAAGATGCCATTGTGAATCTATGGCAAGAAGAAGCTCGCAGATATGTCTCTTATCCGTACAAGCTAGTGCATGATGTAAAGACTGGCATTGAGGTGCCAGACCTAAATTCTGTTTTGGAGGGCAATATTGGATCCCTCATTGCAGCTCATATTAATATCAGAAACTCCTGTCATAAGGTCTAAATCTCCTAGTCCCCATCAATACAAGTCCCTGATCCCAGGTTATTTCAGCAGTTGGTTACACAGTCAATGTTCAAAAAACATGAAAAGAAAAAGGGGAAAAGAAGAGCACATTGCTTATATTCTGTATTTTCTTCATGTTGGAACTTTCTAGATCAAAACTTCGATTTCTTGGTGTCATGGGAGAAAGCAAAGGAAGCATCAATCCGTCATATTCTTAGACTGATTGCTGACTTAAATATCGTGTCGTTATGTTTTACATCGTTAATGGGATCATGCCAGAGCCCCTTCTTTCTGTCTGTTGAATTCCGTTTGTGTATATATAAAAAGACTTTTTCTAGGCCTTTCCGAAATTTTGGCTTCATGGTGAGAGGCTGAGGCTGAGAGCAATATAGTGTCACCATCAAGTCACGCGATAGAAACTGCACTCCTCTGTTGAACCCCCAAAAAAAAAAAAAGATTTTTTAAGCTATTCTTTAGAGAAAATCACAAAAAAAAAAACTGTTAAAATAAAAAAAATTACACACATGGGTCTGTTCATAAAAATTGTTGTCAAAACCCATATTATAAAACTTATAGTAATATTGTTGTGGGTTTTTATTTGTAATTTTTTTATTTTGGCAGTTTTTTTGGTTATTTTTTCTTATTCTTTCTATTTTATATTTAAACTTATGTAAGCCTTTCTCAAAATCAAAGGCTGTCTAAAACGGGTGTCTTTCTATTTTTAAAATTCTATTTTTATTTAAATATGTGTTAGTTAAAATGACATTTCAAACACATATATTGAAAATTTAGTGAATGACAAATTTAATATAACAAGGGACACATTAATTAACATAATTTATATTATTTTAATTTTAATATACAATTTTTTAAAACATTTATTTAAATATTCTTATACTTAATTATTTAAAATTCTTTTTTAATTGGAGGGAGATGGGGATAAACAATTGGTTTATGAAGACATAATTTTAAATAACAAAATTCAATTATTTTAAGATCTTTAATATAATATTTTTATCCGTATTAAATAAAAATGAAAGGAGGTCAATAAATTTACAAATAAGTATTTTTTATCCCAAACTATAAATTTCTATTGGGAGGCATGTCGTAGATAAATTATTTTTTCTCATACCATCCTATTTTAATTCCAATGGTTTTTCATTATGAAAAAAGAGGGCAACGGAAAAGGCTACTCGTTGGGCTAAAGGGTTGGTAACTGATAAAATGTCTTTAATTTTTTATTAATTGAAATACAGTTTCGCCATTTAATACTGAAAAGGCCGGCGGGCTAGTGAGATTTTCAATTTTTTTGGCTAAGAAAAGAATGTTAATTAAAATCTTGCAAGAAATTAAAAAATTCCAATAAAAATTGATAAAGAAATTAAAAGTAAATAATTAATTTTAAAATTAATTTGTAACAGAAAATCTGTTTATAATTTTTTATTCTTAATATTCAAGAAAAACTTTTTCCAAGCAAAAAGAGACTTTTATGATTTTTGGTGTGAAAAAGTTCCTTTGTTTTGCTGGGAAAATAGTTCACTAAATAAGAATTTGGATAATATATGCTAATCAATGGGCAATTATAGTTCACGACTGATAATGCGCGGGAGATTATACAGCAAAAGGCAAAAATTGATAGGAACAACAATCCCAGCTGGAACAATACGGGTGATTAACTGATTATAATTTGACGGCAACGACCAAAAATTGACGGTAATAATGGGTGCTTTGGCGCGCCCTTCGATTTGGCGCCGGGAATTTCTTCTTTCGGCCATTATTTCCTTTCTGGAATAAACTGCATCAGAAGAACCCTGAATCCATCATGGAACATGTTGGGCGGCGCCGTTAGTTTGATCTTCGTGTGTGAGTAAAGAATAGTTGATCACTTTAGTAACTAATCTTCTGTTCTGTTTTCTTTTTTTAAATTATCAAAATTGTACTTAACCTCCGTGTAACTCTTAGGTGATCTCCAATGGCAAACTTGTTCTGTTTGGAGAATCTGGGAATGGGAGAGCTTAGCGCACGCGAATGCTTTTCTATTGCCCTCAAGCCTGGCGGTGGAACTTGTTTAGAGGTATAAATCAAAGTACCGACCTGTTAGCCCTGGTATTAGCTCCCACCAGATTTTATACATTAAGATATAGATATTCAAAGAACTAGCTGGTGCATCCCCGTGCTTTGCACGGGGAGAATTTCATACCACATACTCATATAACACGTGTACATTTCATAAATTCTGAATAATAAATGTTGCCATATGCAATCACACATATCACATTCATTTACAACATCACCACTTGAGTCAGGAAAAAACATTTGTATTGGCAGGATGGAAATTACCTCACAAAGTGTTAACATTGTAATTGTAGGATCAAACACAAATTAACGTACAAACAAACCTCAAGGCAAGTTGTTAAATATCTCCCTATAAACAACATTGATTGTTGTGTTTTGACAGCAACCACCGTTCTCATCAACCACAACTTTCAAACCATCGATTGACTTGACACGAGATAAGGCAACATAAAGCTGACCATGCGAGAAAACAGGCTTAGTCAAATATAACCCAACATTCTTTAACGATTGTCCTTGACTTTTGTTTATAGTCATTGCAAATGACAAAGTCACTGGGAATTGTCTCCTCCTTAAGCGAAATGGCCATCTACTTTCTGAGGGATTCATATCCATCCTATGTAAGAGGACTTTTTGGCTTATACTGCACCCATTCAAAGTTACTCCTTCAATGACATTCTTGCCTAGATGAGACACTATCAATCGTGTCCCATTACATAAACCTGCTGCTTGATCAATATTCCTTAATAACATAATAGGTGCACCAACTTTAAGGATTAACTTGTGTGGTGGCAATCCAGAGCTATTAATTGTATTGAGGAACTCTGTGGTATACAAGTTCTCAAAACAATCAGTATCTTCACTTGATTTGCATACTGTATCACAACTTAGGTACTCGTATGATTCACCAGGTAACATTTGGCACATGTACTCATTGAGCTGGTTCACATGATCGATGGTTGGAGCAAGTATAGCTCTATCACTAAAGAAATCCTGGTTGCCAAAATTGTATACTAAATCACCATATGTTGCAGAAACAATAGCTTCCATTGCATTTGTGTATTTGCTTATCAAGATTTCCTTCGGAATTTCTATCTGTACAACTCCATCATGAGGAAGACCAATCTTGCCATCACCAACTTCTAACAACCAGTTTGAGAACTTTTGTATTTGGATCTGACCATCTCCTGAAGAGGACGTTAAACGCATGTTCTTGGTCAACTTGAAGATTGTGCAGTGACGCCATAGGTGTGAAGAACTAATACTTGCATTAACAACAACAGCTCTTGTTCCTTTTGGTATTACTGGTAATATTTGACGAAAATCACCCCCCATTAACATACATTTCCCTCCAAAAGGTTTATTGGAATGCATGATATCTTTGAAGCTACGATCCACTGCTTCGATACAGTAACGTTGAATCATTGGTGCTTCATCCCATATAATTAACTTTGCACTCTGGATTAGATTAGCTAGAGGTGAATTTTGCTTAATTGCACAAACTGAGAACTCATTTACCTGAATAGGAATAGCAAACCTTGAATGAGCAGTCCTACCACCTGGCAGCAATGTTGCTGCTATTCCACTTGATGCCACAGTTATGACTATTTCTCCTTTAGCACGTAATGATGACGTCAAAGCATTCCATAAGAAGGTCTTCCCTGTCCCACCATAACCATACACAAAGAAGAAACAACCTGAAGATTCTGCAATTGAACTCATCACTTTATCAAATATCTTTCTCTGCTCATCATTCAATGCATTTACTAATCTCGTAGCTTCATGTTGTAAGTCCTCTTTGTTGTAGTTTAGTTCTTGGAGTATAAGATGATTGCTTACATCAATCGTTGGGGTATCTAATGGTAACGGTAGGGAAGGAAAATCAAGCAGACTCTTACCATTTGCTTGCAAAAGCTTCTCAATATCTCTTAATGCGACTTGTTCCTTTTGATCCAATGTAACCAATTGCCCTACATATAAGAATATCTTATTTGATAAGTTTCTTAATACAAAAAAAAAAAATCAAGTTCAAAGTTATTAGTATGATATATTAATAATGTACTCACTTGAGATATTAGGATGACCATGTGGAATGTAGAGCAAATCCTCCGATAGCACTTTAGACGTTCCTTGCCAGACTAAATCAGGACGACTGAGGCAACCACTAAGGAGCATGCTGACAAACATTTTGCGTAATGATGTTCCTGTTGCCCATATAGCTGCTTCCTTGATAGCACAAATGAACTCTTTGTCGTCATCTAATAAACCAAGTGCAAAGCATGCTTCACGAAATGTTGGGTACAATACATCATTTACAGTCCTTATCTCCTCATATGATCTTGGTCCTCTCACTTTTGTTAGCAGGATACGCAAATAGTACAGTTCACCTGATGATGGTGAAGCGTTCGTGATCCTTCCAACTGAGAATCCTTTCTTCCTAGGTCTCCATTCTCGTTTATCTCTATGGTAAACAAAATGATTCGGGAATTCAGCATAAGTAAGAGTTCTTGCTAATCCCCCTTCTTGATTGGTCTTCATCCATGCTAGAAACTGTGACTCGCACACACGTGGTTTATTAAGTAAATTTGTGACATCATCATTGTTTGAATAAATCACAAGCTGTTGGTTTGGTAGATGGTAGCTCAACCTCTCAATAGAAGGATGTCTATGGTGTATGTCAAACCCAAATATCCTCCAAGTAGCTTCACATGCGGAAATGTATCTGAAGTTATAGTATTGTTGAATTTCATCTAGAAAACCTCCATTTGCATCAAAAATCCCAGCAACTACTCGATCATTACCCTTACTGATATACTTGAAAAGATACTTGATCGATGTGGATTGATTGCACTTTTCCACATTAATGTGGGCTTGAAACATCTTTAGCAACATTGGATTGTAAGGAACAACGTAACGACTATCCAATGGAACTGATTTAACTTTTATAGTATGACCATGATCTCTTCTCCTATATGTAGGGTAACCTTCGTCATCAATTGTTGTGTTGGGATTAAACCTCTTTGGGAAATATTTGCTGCATTTGTTGTCCTTCATACAAGGTGATTTAGGATTTATTGCTCCACACGGTCCATGAATCATGAATCTCTTGACCAAATCATACAAAATTGGATCTGATTCCTTATCAGGTATTTCAGCTGAAATGATGTTGTCAATATCGCTTGGCTCTTTGATTTTATCTGAGTGATCTAGGAATAAGAGTATATGTGCATGGGGTAGACCTCGCTTCTGAAACTCTATTGTGTATACCTCTAGAAATAAAAGAAATAGTGATAAGAAAACAATAACCAAGTTAAAATCAATACTTTATGTAAATGTATAATGGCATATGACCAAATAATGAGAAATGATAAAAGTGAAAGTAGCAATTACTAACCTGCTCGTACCCTCCCAAATATCTTCTTGTTCTTAATAGTCCTCATCATTGATTGCAATTTCATTTTGAAGACTCTACTAAGGAGTTGAGGTGAATCAGATGGTGTCAACATGTCATGCTCACATATTCTCTTGATCTCTGGCCATGCTGGGTTACAAGTGAAGGTTATAAAAATATCTGGATATCCAGCCCATCTACATAAAGCCATTGCATCTTGATAATTTTGCAACATGTAACGTGCACCTCCTGTGAAAGATGAAGGCAGAATTATACGCTTGCCAATAGATGAGGCATCTCTCTCGCCATTAGTAATAGCATCTGATAAACCCTGGTATAACTCAACCCTAAGCTCCTTCTGATGTGTCCTCACCCAATGCAATCTTTGAGCTTCAATCATAGTGTAACCATCAACCACAAACTGTTGTAATAATCTTGTAGCATGTAAAATGACTGATGTCTCATTTTCCCTGCTCATTAATCTATATGTGAAGTATTCTCTCATACTAAGCCTTTTCCTTTTCTTTGTCTTTGCAAGAGTTTCCTCTCGATGTTCAACATCATCTCTATATCCATCCTCTCCATAAGGAAATAACAATGGGTATTGAAGGGGCAAATAGGCTGTATGTAATTCATTGATGCGTTTTGGTCTTCCAGAAAGCTCCTCAATAATAATATCTCTAACATTGTAGGACATATCAAAATCTCCAACTACTAATGCTGCAACTTCAGAAGCAGAAGGTAGATTGTACACACGCCCATCTGTGTTTCTTGAGTTAATTAGACGCATCTTCAGATCAGATCTTCCACGACTGTTAATCATCTCAGATGCAAAACGATAATGTTGAACAAACGGATTAACATCATCCAATATGTCCTTAATGATTTGCACAAGAGTTGGGTCTATATCTGAATGACTTTGATGTTTACTGTTACAAAAACAGATTAAAATATTAAAATACCTACTTACATGCAAATTATCATCCTCATAGATTAATATCAAATTTCCAAATAAAAGTAATAGAACTTATACCTTACAGCATTAATTCTGTTTGCAACCTCATTCTCAGTGTCATAGATATATAGTTGTGAGTACACAGGCTTGCATCCTTCTGGAGGTAATAGACTACCAATGCAATGATAATTCATACCTGATAACACAAAAGAATAAGGACCTTGGCCACAATTCATAGCATGATCAACTTTACCCCCCATTGATGTAAATGAGAACATATTGTTGTATTGTCTAATGTTAGAGTAGAAACTCTTTGATTGCACAGAGGTCTTGTCAAAGAACAGGTTGAACAAAGCTTGTGGAGGTGCTTTCATTGCTGGTAATTGTACTTTTCCTCCCAAGCAGCATAAGTTAAACATGTTTGCATTCCTCTTTTTGTCTGTCTTCACTCTTTCATTATACCAAAGCCATGCTCCACAGTGTTTACATTTATGTGAGGGATCACCTTCGTCCATGTATTCTACAAATTTGCATAATAACATATGACAAAAAATTTGATAATGGCTGGCAAAATAAGTTTCCATAAATAATACTGCAAAATTACAATGTGCACATATGAAGGTATATACCTATTGTGTTGTATGATCCGTGGTTGTGTTCATAATCACCGAGTCTTGAGTTGTCACACGTGGTATGATCATCTTTAAAAATTATGGAGATTAATAAAAAGAATACATTATAATATGCAAATGTTTAATCATCTGTGTAACAAATCTGTAAACTCTAAAAGAGATAACATATGCTAACCTTCTTTTTCAAGTATGATCTCGTCTTCCTCATCTGAAGTATGGTTACCATTATGATCAAAGGAGAATTCTGTGTTTCTGTAATCCATATCTTTCACATTAACTGTGATAAGTAATGTTCATGTTAATCCTAAATTCATCAGCATTTTATCAATCCATTATAAATCATCAAAATCTTTGAAATTACCAGGTCGATGTTCCAAGTTTGAAACACATTGGCTGGCTGACGATAATGAACTGAAATTCAGATTTTCATCTTCAGTGATGACTAAATTTTTACTACTGTTACTACCTCGTGTGTACGCAATTGAAGAATCTTGTCTTTGACATGTCCGTGCATCGATTTGATATGCTGTCTCTGTAGTTGAGTGTATAGGGTGAGCTTAAATGAATTTCGCATATATTAAGAAATATTACTAAGTGTTGAAAATTACATTAAGTCATACAAAATAAAAACTTACTGAGTGCAATTGGTCGTTCAGTTTTTTTTCTGCTCCTTTTGGCATTTTCGCTATTGTCTATTCTCTTATTCATATCTTGAAAGAACTTCAACCTTGAGCTTCTCCTCTTGTACACGGATTCTGTGCCCATTGCGTTGACATTGGTTGGTTGATATGATATATCATTACCATTATTCTCAACCCCTGTGCAAGGTCAGTCCTCATGTTATAGATTACATATAATGTATACATGAGATAGCTTATTAAATATGAAAAACAACAATTAGTTATCACCTTCAGCATAATATATCTCAATTCGCGTATTAAAATTTGAAGAGATGTTAGTGATATTCTCCAATGGCAATGTTCTCTTCCTTTCATTAGGATTACATACTCCATTCTGTTGGCTAAATACTGCTGAAGGCTGTGTCTGCATGATTTGAATATTGGTTCCTGTATCACTCACTTGCTGAACTTCGTCTTGGAGTAATATGTTGGGTTTTCGATCTGGCCTCCTAAACATGCTTGAAACAACTTAACGAATAGTTTTCTGTAGTTATAACTACACACTATTAAGAGAATGCTAGAAGGTAGTTTTTGCATTTAACGTAGGATACAACATGCTGCATAGAGTTAAAATATTGATTGTCTAGAATCCAGAATCCAGAATCCAGAATCTAGAATTCGTAAATAGCAGATGGTATAAGCAAGCATGACAACTACATACCTGTACAAGTTATGAAGCTGGATGATATGTTACTTGGATTTGTAGTGGTATTCCATCAAAGTATAGTTTTCCTGGATGAAAACAAAAGATATTCCCATGCAATGACCACTGCAATTTGAAACTGGTATAGAAGCTTTCATCTCAGGTTGTGTAGCTGTGATGCACCAGCGACTATGTTAAATGCAATAGTATATGATTTTTTGATTTCATGTATATAATGTTTTGTTCCCATGTTTTTCTGGTTCAAGTGAGGCGTGTCCAATTCAGAGCATTCAAAGCATTAATTAAATATGCAGACTTCGTACAGTAATTGACCAATAATATAACAACTGGAACAGTATAAAACACAGTAGTCAACAGCGTATATGTTCAGACTGGCATGACTTTTGGGATATGCAGAAGTTGTTATATTGCAGAGCAGTTCTGACAGCAAAAAGCTGGTAATATGTTAGCAGAATCAAGTGAGTATCATTCAAATTGCCCCTACACGTGGTATTTACTTTGGGCTTATTCACAGCATCAGTACCTATCTTAAACGCGCTTGAGAATCAATGTAAGTTTTGTAAATGCTAATATATATCCTTGAGCATCTTACTTAATGAAACTAATAAACCAAGTAGATATAGTGAACCTGCTACATAAGAGATGCCCATCTTTCAAATACCGTAAAAAGTTGAACTCATGTATTGCTAAATATATTTGTTATGTGTGTTATTGTTGCTAATTCGTCTTGTATTATGTAGATCTTACGGTAATAGATCAAGTTCTTATAATGGTATTAGGTACATTTATCATTAGGAAAAATTAGAATACATGACCTGAATGGAAAGATGGTTTGTGTGATAGATCTTTGAACTTATGGTTTGTGTTTGGCTACGAAAGAGATCAGCTAAAATATAAATGTACAAATATCTTATTGCCCATAACCAAATCCATTATATTCTCATATATTTCATAGTTTTTGGGTAAAAAATTAGGGATTACTCTATGGACACTACAATTTCCATATATGACTATATAATTATATGTAAAAATATTTACTGATAATAGAACATTAATATTTGATACCCTATGTTACTATGTTTTACCATGTGACATACTTTTATTTTCCTTAAAAGAAGTCTATTTTACATACAATTCTAACTTTATCCTTTCTAAAATATTACACTGGGAACAGCCAACCCTTATTTAAAAAATAGAGATAGAGATAACCACCATTTACGTAGATAATGACCTTTTCAACTTCAAAGTAATAAGTTCATTGTTTCATAACATTGCCATATGTAAACCTTTACTTCTAGGCCAATTACTTTGTTATTTCAACCTATTACTTTGAAGTTGAATCCCCTAGAATTTATTCTGGTTAGTGATTCAAGATTCAACGCTAGCCTACTTAGGTTGAACCCATAGAATTTATTCTAGTATAGTCACGTGGAATGCTTTACGTTGTTGTAAACCAATGTGTTCAACAATAAATGACATCTATAATGCACTACTTTCATCAACCATAGCCTCTATCATAATTATATTAGGGAAAGCTAAAAGTAAAAACAGTTCCATTACTTGAAGTAAACACGATACATGGTAGAAGTTGCAACTAAAGTAGAACATGTCATAACTAAAAGCACATAATGGAAGAAAGAAATAAAAACACAATATGGAAAGAACGACATGAAATAGTCCCTAATACATAGGCATAACAAAGCATTACATCTTCTCTTGCTTAATCACTTTGACAACAGGCTCCCCAGTAGAGACGGTGGATGAGTTTTTGCTGCTGCTACTTGGTTCATCTAACATTATTGCTTTCTTGGCAATGACCTTTCTTTTGCCTTTGTTTGGCATAGGATTCAAGCACTCTGAAAGCTTAGACAATGTTATATTGTCATCAGTGTCAACATGATCAGGAGTTGATGAGTGAAAGCCAGTGGTTTGTTCTGCTTGTGGAGTTACTTCTCCATCATTGGTCTCAGATACAGCCTGCATGATTTAATGAAAATTATAATTATAAATTAAAAAATGGCACTATTTAAAGAAATATTTACTCCTTATGAACATTAACATTTAAATTATAAAAATCAAATCAAAATTATTATTAAACCTCAGCAGCTATGCCGGCACTTCCCGTGCTAACCTACAACATATCCAAATCAATTATTAAATGATTTGATTCTGAAAATTAATATATTAATATAATCTGAATATGATGAGAAAGAGCTGTACATCAGAAGAAGCCTGAGTGAACTGGTCCATCAAGTCCTCACAATTAGTGTACTGAATAACACTAATACTGGAATGTGGAAATTTCTTGTTGTACTCGTTAAGTTTCAGCTTCAGGATCATTTTTCTGCCAACTATATTATCCAATGCTTCAGGAAACTCAAACTCGTCTCCCTACATATGATAATCACGTTAAATCTAGGAATCGACATCCAATTAAATGATTTTAAAAGTTGACAGTAACCTCTGGTAGCGAGACTTTCAACTCAGGTGCAGTCTTGCCAAATAACTGGACAGCTAACTTATCCCAGAAAGTGACCGAAACTTTTCCAGATGAATCATGAACAATGTATGTTACCTTCAACCTGTCCAGGATGTAATATTAAACATTATTACAATATTACAATAGTCGATATAAAATGACTGATGATAATATTTATAGGACCGTGTTAATTCTACATACTTTGGATCCACAGACTCAGGTGCCTTCTTGCATGTTGCACAATATAAGGAACCGTTTTGATCCTTTGGCTTAGCTGCACACTTACTACATCCATCATACATCCATCCATGTCTTGTCTCTAGTTTCATAACTGTGCATTTAATAATGAATGGATCGACCTGGGAACAGTTTGGAAAAAATATATTTCAATGGGTTTCATTTATGTAGACAATGATTTTGAAGGTGTACTGAGTGTCTAACCGTGTTTTGGTGAGGAATTTCAGAAATTGCCACTTTCTTGTTTTTGTTCAAAATATTTGCAACAGATGGCTGAGATAATTGGGTTGGGGCAGGTTGGCTTACATAGGACAGCACAGGTGAAGATTTGTCTTTTGCACTAACACATGTACAATAAATCAATCAACAACAGTCCGGTTTAAGTGATATAACAAATTACATAAAAGAAAACTGGGTTCAAAGTGACATTTATCGTTACCTTTCAATGAATTCCTTCACCTGATTGTTTATGGGATTGAAGTAAACCCTAGTGGCGTTGAATGAGCTACAGATCTGAGGTGATCCTGAAATTGATGATTTAGTTAACTTTAAGTAAGATAATCACGGGTACATCTGAATGAAATCACCAAACAACTTCTCAATATTTTACAAATTAGCATAAAAGTATAATCTTCATTACCATCATCAGCGAAAGACACTCTTGCAAGATTAAATAAGGCAACCACAGGTGAGTCCATGTTCTCCAAGTAGGATGTGTATGCATTTGTTGAACACTCATCAAATAGAATGCATTCAATCTCATTGTCCCTGCAATTTATCACAACACAAAAGTGAGAAACACATTACGTATGATATTCACTGCACATGAAAGCTTAATACTTATTAGTATAACTTACTCTTGATCAACTAACGCCATCTTGAGCTTGTGCTTTATGTCGTTATCCTTCCTATATTCCTCCAAGTGACCAAGTGACTTGACAAAGCCAATTACATCTAAAGGATACACAATTATCAACTCAGCTCGATTAACCAAGTAACTACTATTAACTATAATTAACTATCCCATAACTTAACATATGTCATGTCATACCAATAAGATAATCAACATGATTGTGCTCAGTATTCTTCAATATATCCTGTATCTTCATCAAAGAGAAAGATAAGGATGGATTGACATTAGGCTCAATTCTGACGAATGTCTGTTGTGTGAAATTAATCTTGAATGGGTGATTAGTTGCTCTATATTGAGTAACATTAGATGACACAACAAAGTTGGCAAAGAAATAAGTAGTCCCTTCTATGCAGCTATTTCGATATTGCTCATGCAATATGTTATTCATCACACTGGCTTGAATTTTATGGCCCTGCAACATAAAATATGTGGAGAACAAATATCGTTAAATATTATAAGATATGTAGAGTTTACTAAATATAAACTACAGAGTTTACAGTGAATAAAAAAATGTCAAGTAGAACTAACTTCCTCATCTATAAGCACCATAGATATGCAAAATAACTCTGCAGGAGCTGACTTCTGGTAGACATTCCATTTACGAAATACTTTTGCAACAATTCTCCACCTGTCTGTACCATCATGCAGCTCTTTGATTGTTGAAACTCTCCTCATATTTAGACTTGTATAAGACAACCTCAAACCAATGTGATATGGACTTCAACTGAGCATACATCAACTAATCTACAAGTTCTGCTTATATAGAAGACCCATACATGATGCACTTGCTCCCGCCAAAGGATTCAAAATTTTGATTTAAAAATATTGAAAGATGAGCAAATCTTTTGGCGGGAGTATTGTACAGGTGAAAAATTTGAACCTTGAATTGAAGCATCCAAGATTAATATTCTAATCATGAAAATAGCAGTATTAATGAGGTTAGGACCAATTGTTAAGATATTGATGTACACAAACTGGTTAAATAATAATATTTCGAAGAGGTTAAATTTAAGTTATTAAATGCTGAACACATGCATAATCAAGCATCATGTCACAATATATTTTCTTGAACGTGAGTGAGTGTAAAAGTCATTTTATAGGAAACTTATCCGCATCTGCATCTGCATTTTACGATATAATAACTCATTATGTTCACAATGACATATATTCCATGGTGACAGAGAGTTTAGTAACTAATTATGTTCATAATAACTAATATGAAATGTCATTCATGAATTAAATCACAAACCCACGCACAGAGAAATAAATGACACACATACTCTCGAACATGTATAATCAAAATAAGATAACATAAATAATTTCAAGTGCGGGATCAATTCTTGTTAAAACATTATGTTATGTGGGTAGACTATTCATGAACAAATAGGTACTACAAAGAAATATAATCAAAATTTAATGTCTACATGAACTCCTCTAAATTTCTTTTGGATAAAATGGAAGAAGGGATGGTTCGGATAATAAGAACAACAATACTCCATTATAAAATTAATACGCACTCAAAGTAACAAAAAATCATAATATCATAATATCATAATAATAAATAATAAATTAATCTTATATACAAATCTACATGAGTGCAAAGCTGTCATTATGGGCAGTCTGAACTGTTCCCACATCAGGGAGGCAAAATGATAACCTTAAAAACAGAATTTGACATGATAGGGCAGGTAAATATAATACTGAAAATCAACCTGCACACAGCAGGTACTGACGTATATCTCTCCATCTGATCATTTAATGGCATAAGATGAAAATGAATGCTTCGACAATGAAGATCTCAAGGATATCGAATTACAATGTCAGATGCTGCTACCATGAAGAAAATGTGGACAGTGAAATTAGGCATAACTTGTTGGAGGGACAAATTGACGTTTTTACTTTAATTACTTATCAGTTATTAAAAGTTCAAATTACTTATATTTGAGTAAGTTATTTGGTGGTAGGATAATAGTTTTATAAGAAGGATTACCATGTCTTATGCACAAAAATATTTAAATTTATAAGTTTAAATAAGATATATAAGCGTATATGATAAAGTTAGTCCTTTATCTTCACCATATCTGGTACCATAAGGTTTTGACCTCTTCAAATAAACTGGGCAGTCTCAAAATGAGAATATGGACCAGGCAATATGTTATGAATTATGACATTGTCATTAATAACTTTTGTCGTTTTTCCTATTAGTTCTGTGTATTCTATGAATCTAATTCATGGCAGATTCACTAAACAGAAGTCTACAAAAAGGTAACTGCCAATCATTTAATGTTAACAGCTTTTTTGGCATCATTAATAAATGCCAACAATACAACCAAATACTGACGTATTCAGATAAATGAATCACAGTTGACCAGATAATACCTTAAATGAGATAACTTGAAGCATTTAAAATAATATTATATAAAATATACATTTTGTCTCTTCCACTTGAGCATTTAATGAGCCTGCAACACCTTAAATTAAAGCAGGCACATAACAGACTACACATACTCTGTGAATGTTATCACACAACTACCAAAGGTAGTAAACCTACGATACACAAATGAAGCAATAGTATAAGACAAGAGAATATGCGTTTAATAAAAAAAACTATAATAGTAGAAAAGATACCTGGAATAACAGGGTACTTATGACTACCCATCTTAGTAAATCGTCGCCATCTATGAAGATTGTTAATTAGATGAAGTTAATGTGAAACCCAGAAATTATCATGCATCAACCTTCACTTCCTATTCAGTGGGTGATTTGAAATATACAAGTGTCTAAAAAAGCATCATATAATCATATAATGATACAACAGAAAATGCTCATTAAGTCATCCATACAAGTAGGTGGACAATAAAAGGATTTTATAAAACTGTCAGTGCGATCAGGGAAGTAATATGAAATAAATTATCACTAAATTCTTTGCATGGTCATATAATGAAAAAGTAATAAATAAGCTTCTGGAATAGATCACTAATACTAACCAATCATATCAAACAGAGCATAAATCATTACTACAAGGTATAATATATCATAATGATTATGTCCAGAAATTCACAGGTTGAAATTGACGACTAATGGATATATCTAGGTGGTCTTCCAAAAAATAGAAAGAGAAAACTATATTTTAATAATCAAGATTAATTTAAATATTAGAATTGCATTGAACCCCATACCTACAAACAGGATATAAAGGAAGCCCCCACAATATTAGATACTACATCCAATCATCTCTGTGCAAAACTTCCTACCTCACAAAATATACATTTTGTCTCTTCCACTTGAGCATTTAATGAGCCTGCAGCACCTTAAATTAAAGCAGGCATATAACAGACTATACATACTCTGTGAATGTTATCACACAACTACCAAAGGTAGTAAACCTACGATACACAAATGAAGCAATAGTATAAGACAAGAGAATATGCGTTTAATGGAAAAAAAACTATGATAATAGAAAAGATACCTGGAATAACAGGATATAAAGGAAGCCCCCACAACATTAGATACCACATCCAATCTCCTCAGTGCAAAACTTCCTGCATCAGAATGCGAATGGTCCAGGAGATCAACCAAACACATCTTAGGGACTTAATGGCGCACTGGAGAGCTGAAGGTGTTGCATACATCCGGGTACGGTGTGGACCACTCACATTATACTCTAGACCTGATTCAGTCACCAGTAGTCTTCAATACGACATAACAGCAATGGGTGAGACACGAGTAGGGTCAGCAAGCTGGTATGGGTTGCGCTATGTAATGGTAAGGATCATCTATGGTTACCTCCGTGATGAGGGTTTCAGAAGCCAAAGCTGGGATATTGCAAACAGGTACAACTACTTGGATTACACTGACTACATGAACTTCCTTCGACATTTTAATCCCTACGTGACTGCAGTAATGCCTACTTCTCTCAATGAATCACTCACCATCCACGACTTGTGGTCTCATGCTTACATGATGGTGACTCCAATCCAGAGAAGAGTTAGGAGAAGAACAAACTACACTATATACAGAGCAATATCATACCAAAACCAAGATAATAGAGATGATGCTCAAACAAACGTGGTTGAGAGGCCAGCACATGACTTTGATCTGAATCTACCATGTAGTTCAGATCTAGGTAACGAACTCGGTTTTGTCATTCCAGATGACTAAACAGGACAATGACTGAAGACTATAATCACTCTAAGTGGCATGTCAATCTAATGTTATGTCGTCAACCTCTATGTATTTCACTTTTAACTGTGTAAGTGTCTGTTCGTGTGACTAATGTTATGTCGTCAACCTCTATGTATTTTTTATCGTATTAATCTACAGTTCAGTTATGTCTATGTTGTGAGAAGTAGTGGGAGGTATTTATATGTATGTCTGTTGAATATGCAATTATTATGGACTGTGAGAGGATTTCACTTTTAACCATGTAAGTGTCAATGTGTTCGTGTGACTAATGTTTTGTCGTCAACCTCTATGTATTTGTTATTGTATTAATATTCAGTTCAGTTATGCCTATATTATGTGAAACAGTGGGGAGTGATTTATATGTACATCTGTTGAATGTGCAATTATTATGGACTGTGTTATGAAGGAACTTAAATATAGGTCTAAATTACAAATCTGGAGATATATTATTGGAATACGTATGGTAGTGGGCATGTGATAATTAATTGATGTTAGATATCAACCATATACATAAATTGCAACAAATAATATATCAGCATCGATAAAGATACTCGCATTTTAATCTAAATTTCAATCCAAGAGAATATCCTAAATGTAGTTGATCATGGATATGTTGTTAGGTGCCTGAATCTAGTGGCGTGTTGGGGAATAGCACACAATGTCAATGGTAAAACATATTAAGGCATGACTAAGATTGTATTTCTGGATAAATTAACCAAATCAAAAATAAAAAATTCAAACAGCGAGTATCACTAAAAAATTTGACTGACAAAAATCTAAACCATGACCTATTTGTTAGACCTCTTCGGAAAAACCTTTTCAGTGAGAAAGAGACATGTCGATGCTTGTAAAAAGGGATAATCAGAATTAAATAATAAAATAATATACATTTAGGAAGGGCAACTTACATTGAACAGGTATTATATAGATAGTAAGAGTGCGATTGAGACCTATAGTCCCACCATGGAAGGCGACATCAAGCTACTGGGAGGTAAGAGTAAAAAATTTATGTAGTGATTCATAGGAAATCTTGAAATATTAAATTTACCATATCTACAGGGGGCTGTGGTTATTTTGAATGTCATCAGACCCCGTATTGGAGGAGAGGTAGAAAAATGTCATCAATACATTGGTAGAGCACATGGACGAGTTGTTCCTGGATAAAATAGAACTTCAAACAAAATTGAAAGAGATGATGGAGATGGTTGACAGAATGAGGGAGACGGATGAAGATCAAGAATATCAAGAGATGGGAGCAGACATCAATAGCATCCAATGGAAATTATTGGCGCTGGGTACAACTTTTCTCACGTCCTGGCTCCTTTTCTTCCCAATTTTGATGTCGTAGATGATTAGGGTTTTCTTGCAAGCTTGCGGAACTGCTGTGATGGTATTACGATGAGTACCATTTCGATGAGATGTTTTAATAACTCCAACTTCATTTAGTTAACAGTTATACTTTGTCTTTTAAATGGGCTTAGGCTTAGCCC